CTGAAACACAGACTCACTTAGATGTGGAAGGAATCCTCTTTCACTAGCCCTTTACAAAGACTGAGTCTTCCCAGTTATAACAAAGTGGAAAGATTCATGTTTGACTACAATACCCTACACGCTGAAAGTAAAAACAAAAAAATATCCACAAACAATACGAATGAAAACTGAAATACTTTTAACATTAAAAGACTTACTCTGTCGTTTTAAAATGGATTCTTTTGAAAACATCTACTATGTGTGTGATTTGTGCACTAGGGCTCACAAGTGTGAACATTCCCTCACAGACACATCCACATGCGGGTCTAGGTGATTCTATATCCCAACAAGCTGCTTCTCAAGTTTCCTGATTAATAGTATTCAGAGTGGTGTCTGATTTCTCAATGGCTCTTTTCAATAGAAATGTTGAAAACAATAACCAGCTAATATTCAAAATGGCAATTTGCCAACATTTGCAAACTCAAAAGTCTTTTTTTTCTTATAGCTAGCATAAGAATCATGAAAATCCAAAGAAATTATGAATCCATACAAACTTTACATTTCAGGAATGGCAAAATAATAATGGGGCTGTACATTGCCTTGTTAGAGCTCTCTACCCCCACCCCAGCTCCATTGAGCCTGATGTGGAATCGATGTGACACCTGAGGTTTGGGCTCTCTTGGATACTCCTTGCAGCTGCAGCAGCACCTTCCATGAAGCCCCTCTGCCCCCCTTGATTCCACAAGAAAAGCAGCTCTTGCAGTCCGGGCCATGTAACCAGGACATCTAAAGTATGACTAGCTGTCTCATAGGCTCCTTTTCAGTAGTGGGCAGCAATGTGTTCTTTGACTGAACATTCTGAAATTTAGGATGAAAATAAAAGTGAATTTCCCCCAACATCATCTGGAAAGTATAGCATGCAGGAACATGCCATTAGTCTTGGTTTCCTTCTAGTTCCTTTAGAAATCCCCTCAAAAAGTTGTTTAAAATGCAGACATAGGGGTTCCACCCAAAGGCTGGGGAAGTGCATAGGCGCTTGTAGTGTAACTGGAACATACTATCTACCTTCTAGTTCCTCTTTTCCCCATATTTTCATTCCTTCTCTTTGTTGGTTGTTTATATTTGTTAATAGAACCAAATTTGTATAGAATTAGAAAACAAAACCCAACCTTCACCTATTTCTTATATTTTTCCCCTCAGCTACCATTTATGTGTGCTTTCTCCAAACAGCTGAACTTCTGGAAAGAGTATTCTACACTTTTCCATACATCAACCCCAACCATTCTTTTCCCAGTCCATTACAATCCGGATTATTTTTTGCCCCACCCTATAATTTAGGTTTGAATGAAATAATACTTGTAAAAGTTACAAGTAGCCTTATTGATGCAGATAATGGTTAACTAATAGTCTTTATCAGCATTTGATATGTTTAACTATGTCCTCCTTTTTGGAATATTCTTTTCCCCTTGCTTCTATGACATTGCATTTTTTTTTCTTATTGGACAATTAAAAAATCTCCTAGCCTCATTAGTAGGCAAATAAAAACCAGATTTTGCATTAGTATAATGCTCATTCTAAAGGACTTCTAATTTTTTTCTTCTTTTTTCCATGGCAAAGAACACATAAAATTTATTATATATCAAAGATACGGAAATATTAGAAATATTAGACTTCCGTCTTGTAATTGGAGACTGGATAGTCTATGAGCTGATAAGGCACAATATCTGTCACAAATGAAAATACATTAAATAATTGTTATTATATAAGGTGAAGTGTATAGAGAAAAATATACACAGTCAATCTCTATCCTCTAAACATGCGTGCACACACAAGTGTGCCTCTCCACACAGACATGCAGACATACACACAAATCACACACATAAGTGCACCAATAATGTTTGTAATTTTAAATCCCAAAAGTCCATCTAGTACTGGTGAGATGATTCAGCAAGTCAAAGTGCTTGTCACACAAGTTTGACAACCTAAGTTTGACCCCCTGACCCCAAGGTGGAAGGAGAGAGCTAATGTGCGAAAGTTAACTCCTGACCTCTGCAAGAGTGCTGTAGAATAATAGAAATTAAAATAAAGAAGAGTTCAGTTAAAAAGGAAATTTTTATGTCACTGAAGTCAAGAAACAATTTATTAGTATGGTTTCATTTATGTGAATTATTAAGGAATCCTCTAAATTGTTCCTTTATAAATGTTTCAGAGTAATGTATCACAGGCTAACAGAGCTGGTGAGATGGCTTAAAGATTAAGAGCATTTACTGTTCTTCCAGAATACCTGGGTTCAGTTCCCAGCATCCACATCAGGCAGCTTTCAACTGGCTGTAACATCAGTTCCTGCATGCATGTGGTACACATAAACTGCAGCAAAACACATAAATAAAAATAAGCATTTAAAAACAAGAGAAGTGTGCTCTGAAAACTAAAAAATGGGGTGACATCTTCTTGAATGCTCACTCAGTGGAGGTGGAAGAGTGTTAAGTAACTCTCCCAGAGGGTGTGTCTTTTTATTCATCTCAGAGAGCCATGGCAGACAGCAGACAGAAGAAATGATTCCACTCTAATCTAGTGTGGTAAACTAATGAGCTTAATTAAAGTTTCTTTCAGAATCCTGGGCAATTTGCCAGCAGCTATGCCACTGAATTATAGTTTTGTTTGTTTGTTTGTTTTGCCCCAAGCATATATACCCAATTACGTATCTTCGAGGAATGGATGCCTCCTGAGCTCTGTCTGCTTCCAGGAGGGTGTTTAGTGGGCCTAGTCTTGTGAAGGTATCCAGTGGGTAGACCACGGGTGCTCTGATTTTAAGGCTTTCATGCCTCAGCAGAGTCCCACATCAGTATTGCTTTAACTTAGTCTAAGAAGCATGATTCCAGTGCTCTCCAAGTTCAAGGTGAATGTACCAAGGATCTCAGATGCCTAACAAGTCCTATAACCTCTCTCTGCCAAAAGTACATCAACTACCAGAAAGATTTTGGATCTTACCCAGTTTATATTTGAATTGTTCTAGTGTATCATTGTCCAAATTATCAAAAGGTCCGATAACCTTTAAACGTTAGCACAACTGCAAAATGACAGCTTGCCAAGATATAAAATTTTATTTAAAAAAATAAAGGAAATGGAAATATAATTTGAATGTTTGGGAATCTTATTTCCAAAGAAAAAGCTTCATAAAATTTTAACACCCCTCCAAAAAAAATCTCAATAGTGATTGCCTAATTGTCAGAAAATTGGTGGGCAACAGAAAACATTCCAAATAGTGTACAGTGATCATACAGATGATCTCCCTGAGAATAAAGACTGGAATATAGCTGGATTCTGGAGCCTACTAGCTTTATTAATAGGCAAATAAAAAATGATTTTTCATTAGCATAAATTTCACTCAGAATGACTTCTAATTCCTTTCTTTCTTATTTCCCTCTCCACGATAAAGAACATTCAAATTATATTACATGCTGAAGGCATGGAAATATTAGACTTCTGTCTTCTAATTTTCTCATATTTGTTTTATATTATAAAATACACCCAATAAATCCATAAACGAGATTAATATTGTTGATGTCATACTATATGATAATTTTGATGCTACAAAGTTATGGTTCCTCCCTTTCATGAACCTTTTATTCCAGTGAGGAGGGGAGGGGAAAGACAGAGACAATACACAAACAATATTAGGTCACAGAAAATGCTATGAAAAGAAAAAACAATATAATGCACAAGGTGACTAGAGTGTCACTTTAATTGGGCAGTGAGGAAAACATCTTTGATGTGATAACAACACATCTTGAGAAAAAAATGAAATGCAATGTTGTACAAGAGAAGAGAAACTGCAGAGGTCCTAGACTCAGAATCATCTTTCCCCAAGAAAAATGAATATGTATATAGATTATCTTAAAATATGTGGGAGTATAAATATTTGTAAAGTTGTTTCTAAATTATCTCAGTGAAAGAAATAAGCAACAAGAAGACACCATAGTGCCTGTGCTACCCCGTTGGTGCTAGAAGTTTGCACAATGTGAACACTATCGAACAGCGATTCTCTGGTGTGTTTCCGGTTTCACAAAGGAGGTGGCATAAAGGCAGGGTTTTGAATTATCAGTGCAATTTGCAAGGGCGTGTCTCCGTGTACCGTGTTGGTGGGGATGGCACCGGCAACAGCTGAATGCGAAGAAAACGGGGCTGTTCCTCGTTGGTGTGAGGTTCAAGAGGCATAAACACCTATCCATGATTCTGTGCTTCCATGACTTTCTTTGTTAAATATGCTTACAGAACAAGTTTGTGAAATGAAATGAGGAAAGAAATAGAAATCTGACATTTATTTATAAGCGCTCGTAACTGGTGGGGCAGGGGCTGTTCATTGAGGCATCAACGATAAACTTTCCGTACTTGGTTCCGAATAGGCACTCAATAAACATCCCTAGGACCAATGAAAGAAAATGAATAGTTGGTGGTTGGGGGTGGCAGTCTGACGTCTGATGGAGAAAGGTCAGTCCCCCAGCATTACAATACACTTTACTGTTAATAGTCTTAGTGCCTAAACTCCCTTTCAGACTTGTTTTCATCCAAACTATGAAATACGCACCATTTCTGTTATTCAGATAAACAAATTCTGAGTCTCGATTGGAATGTACCCCGACTCTGGTTCTAGAGTGGGTGGATCAGCCACTAGACTGGAGGATCTGACAGTTAAGGTGTTCACACGTAAAGTTCACTACCTAGACTAGAGGCTTGCAGCATAAAATGATTTATGTAAAGATTTAAGTTAGGGAAATCCAAGGGAGACGCGGGGGCTGGGAGGGGAGGTTCCAGAACGTCCCTACCGGCAGGTCACAGCACAATCACTGGTGTACTTCACAAGACCATCGAACCTCGGGGCAGGGCGGAGCGCCAGTGCCAGCCCCTGTCCCCGCGCAGCCGCAGTGCCGCTCTAGAGCCTGGCGGTGCAAGGCGGTGGGACCAACTCCACGGGGCGGGGCCGAAACGTGAATATTGAAAGGAGGTTCGGCGGCGGTTACCCTAGCGGCCCAATGTCATTTCCTGTTGAGCGTAACGCTTCCGGGTCGCGGTCCGGGGCTTGTGTCTGGGTGACTTCTCAGCGTGGTCCGCGGTGCCTGTGTCTGGAGTCCTCCGCTGGCCTCTGCCCCGGGTCGTGCTCGCCGCGCTGCCGCCTCCATCGTGAGGAGGTGGGTGTGGTGGCCCAGCAGTCCCCAGCTTGCCTGGCAGTCTCCCACCCTCGCCCGCCGTCGCCTCGCGCCTTCCGCCATTTTCCTGCCTGGAGGTGTCGGTCGGGGTCGCGCCGGGGCCTGGGCTCGGCTGCAGCGCGGGTGCCCCGGGCGGCGAAGGCCTGCGTGGAGGGGTGGGGAAGCCCGCAGTGCGCGAGGTGGGGACAGGGGCGGCCACAGCCAGGCAGCCTGAGCCTTTCCTCCGGGATTGCGAGCTTTAGGCTGTAGAGTTTAGACTTGTGTCTCGGCCCTCCAGCCCTCCGGGGAGGATGAGAAGGCTTCCATTTTTTTCTAGTACGGTTTTGTCGTTTGAGAAGCTTCCTCAGAATGTTTCACCCACCCAAGAGTTCGGTTTACCTTTTGTGAGACCTTTTTCTCCGAGGGATGGGTATGCAGTAGGCGTTCAGTGATGTCTTCGTCACTAAACGAATTATGGAAAGGTACTTTGCTGTCGGCATCGTGCGTACCCTTACTGCGTTTTTATGTCTTTGTTTAAAGGTTATCTGAGATTCTGGGGTCTGAGTTTGAAGGAAGGCTGTATAATCTTAACGAATGGCCTTGGATTTTAAAATCTTATTTATTTAAGTTATTTGAAGATTATTTGGGCCGGTGTAAGGACGTTTACCAGATTGGTAGCTTGCTATTGGGAGAGCAGCTACCTGCAGAGAGAATGTGATGTCGTTCTTTCCTTCCTTCCTTTTTTTTTTTTTTTTTTTTTTTTTTTTTTTTTTTGACTGCTGAGTTATGGGAGACGATGCAGGGTATTATTATTATTAACCTAGAAAGGACTTGGAAGTTTTCCTCAACCATTTGAATGAACACGGTTGTATGTTTTTTTTCTAATTTATTGTTTTGATTTTTGAACCATGGTACAGAATAATGTGAAATAACCTAGCCTCAGAAGGGAAAATGTGTCAGTTTTTATATACCTGTTTTTCAATTAAAGTATCGAAAGTGAGAAATTAGTTCAAGTAGTAGGTTTATGACCTTTTCTTTCATGAGGTTATTTTCTTATGTCAAGTAGCTGAAATGTAACGGTCAGGGTCTGAAGGCATGGCTCAGCAGATCAACACTGGCTCTTCCAGAGGACCTGGTTCCATTCCCAGTACCCACTAGTGTCAATCTCACAACCATCTCCAGTTCCTGGGGACCCAGCACCTTCTTCTGGCCTGGGAGGCACCAGGCATGCAGACAAAACACCAGTGCACATAAAATAATTTTGTTTTCCCCAGACAGGGTTTCTCTGTATTGTTTTTGAGCCTGTCCTGTAACTAGCTCCTTAGACTAGGCTGACATTGAACTCACAGAGATCTGCCTGCCTTTGCCTCCCTAGTGCTGGGACTAAAGGCGTGCGCCACCATTGCCTGGCACATAAACTAATTTTTAAGAAGTTTAATGTTAAGTAAATATTTGTTGATCTTCGAGTAGACTGGTTATAGATATTTAACATATTCTGATACCTTATAATATTTGGATATAAATGTTTTTTTATGCAGGAATTATGAATGGGAGGGCTGATTTCCGAGAGCCGAATGCAGAAGTTCGAAGACCAATTCCCCGTAACTATCATATTAAATACTTAAAATTAGTAGCACTTTCTGTGTAAGGAAATTTAATTGCTTGAGTAACAGCAGCTGGGCTGGCTTTATGTGTGTAATATCTGTATAGTCACTGGACTTCATATTTGCTTTGATGTTGTCCTAATGCAGTCTTGAAATTCCTCATTATCTGAAGAGGGGTGGGGGTTGGTTTTCCATATTTTCATTTAGCACTGTGTCCAGCCTGTCCTAACAGGTAGTAAGAATAAATTCTGTTGGAAGGCAAAGTTTTTTTTAAAAGTTGACAAGCCAGTTGCTTCATTATTTTTACACACACACATACATACATACATACATACATACATACATACATACATATAAAATGTTCTTGTTACTAGTAGACCGCTAACTTTCAGGACTTTTAAGAAAATGACTTCCAGTTTTTCTCTAAAAGACATAGGGGCTGATTACATTCCGACAGAGGAAGAGCGGAGAGTCTTCGCAGAGTGCAATGAAGAAAGCTTCTGGTTCAGATGTGAGTTGTCCTGTTTGTGAATTTTAAAAAATGTATGGGGGGCAGAGGTCGGTGTCTTTCTCTCTGTCCCTCTCCATCTTATTTCAGGGTTTCTCACTGAACCTAGAGTTCCATCATTTTGGCTAAATTGGTCAGCCACTGAGCCCCCAGGATCTTCCTGTCTCTGCCTCCCAGTACTGGGATATACATGCTTGGCTGTTACATGAATACTGGGATCAGAATTCAGATTCTGATCTTTGCTTTGCAGGCATTCTACTCATTGAGCCATCTCTCCAGCCCTGGTTCCTCAGTTTTATATTAGCAGAATTCAATCCTACTTTCACCTACAAACTTGCCTTAAATTTGTGTTTGAAATTGTAATTACATATAGAACATATTTGGGCACTTTTGCCATAATGTGGTTATTGCTAATAGAAATGAAAGAAATTGAATTGTGCCAGGTGGTGGTTGCGCCTATGGCTTTAATCCCAGCACTTGGATGGCAGAAGCAGGCACATCTCTGTGCCTGATATATAGAATGAGTTCCAGGACAGCCATAGCTACACAAAGAAACCCTGTTTTTAGAAAACAAAAAACCAAAAATAGAATTGAAGGAATTAAGGTTTAGAGGTGTTAAATGTGACATTAGCTAGCCAGTCTTTGTGCCTTGAAATCAGGTCTTTTTAAACACAGACTTGGGGGTTTTAACTATTACACTTCATGACTGTCATGACAACTGGTTTATTGCCTTTCATTATAGTGACAAGTTACTGTACTATCAGCTCTGGATTTCTGACTACAGATCTTAAGATCAGGATTTTGTAGTTGTTGTTGTTTGTCTATTGTAGCCCTGACAGGCCTGGAACTTGCTATGTAGACCAGGTCTGATATTGGAGACTATCCAGTGATAGAGCTCATGATGCCCTTTGGTTGGTTCCTAGTACCAGGATATGATGAAGGAATTCCAGAAAACCAAAAATCAAACCACACCAAAACAAACAAACAAAAAAAAAAAAAAAAAACAAGCAAAAACAACCATTTCCCCAAGGGAACTAGACCAGGCTAGCCTTGGATATTTCTGCTAGTAGTTCAAGTGTGAACCTTCTAAGAATTTATACAGAGAACACTGAAAGTTACAAACTAATCCAGTGCTCTGTTTATATAAAGGCCTGGTGCTTCAGAAATCGCAGCCTTTTACAGTAATTCCAACAGAGAGGCAGGAAGAAATTTCAAGATTTCTTTTTTAATCATTATTTTATGTATATGGCATTCTGCCTGCATGTATGTCTATGAGCTATGTACCTGAGAAAAGAGGCCAGAAAAGGACGTTAGTTCCTTTGCAACTGGAGTTATAGACTGCTTTGAGCTGCCAGGAACTGCACTTGGGTTTTCTAGAAGAGCAGCCAGTTCTCTTAACCTGACCCATCTCTTCAGACCTGCAGGATAGAATTTTAAAAGGGGGAAGAAACAAAGAAGGAAGAGAGCCTGGGAGATAGCTCAGTGAGAAAGCCTGCCAAGCCTTGAGTACAGTGTATAGAACCCACATGAGGGAAGGAGAGAAGCTACTCCTAAAAATTGCCCTCTGACCTACACAGGAATGCTATGATGTTATCTTTTGTAAAGGCTGTAAAATGGCAGTTTTTGAAAAGGTAGATAAGAGAGAATAAAAAAAAAATAAAGGTCAGATGATAACATCAAGATCTACGTAGTTTATATAACAGTACTCATTAAAGGTGTACTATTTGTATGGGGAAATAAATTTAGTATGGCCATTTTGAGTTTATTTTCAAGTTTTAATGACATAGAATTAAGAAAAAGAGAAACCTCTGTAATCCCAGTCCTCAGGAGGATCTTGATTTTGAGGCTGGCCCTGATCTACATAGCTGAAGGTTTCCCTATGCTATATAACAAGATTTTACATGAAAAAGACTAGACTTGGTATGTAGAGTTTAAAAAGTAATGTGTTAAGTTAATGGTTAATATTGTATCCAGATTTATTTCTGGCTGATAAGTTTATGCTTTTGTATGTATCACTTGAAATAGCTGTAATATTATGCCTACATTGTATTGTGGGGAAGTGATCTATAGGCAGGATTTCAGATATAGGAAAATAATACATGAACAATAAGTTACATTTTTTTAAATTATAATAAATGTATTACAATTTCAAGTTGAAGAGAGAAATAAGGACAGGTGAAAAATAGCTTGTTATTGTACTTCTAGTTGGACTGCTAGACAAAAGATTAATAAGTAGCATTAATTAGACTCTGTTTTTTGCTGTTTTATGAGGTAGAACCTTGGATGTCCTTGAACTCACTATATTACCAAGTTGACTTGAACTCACAGAGATCTGTCTCTGCCTTCCTGATGGGATTGCTTTAGACTCTTAAGACAGAGATGAACTAAGTGTTCTCTTTAATACTAAGTGTTCTTTATAATGGTACCAAACCTTGGAACTATATAACCAGATGATAGGAGAATAAATGTGTAATTACTAAGAGGAATTTTGTACTTTAACATTTGTTTCTCAAATATGGAATATTGTATGATTGTTTTTCTGATTAATGAACCACTGTGTCATAGCAACAGTATCATCAGTTAAGAGTTGCCACAGTAATCACTATTATTGTAAACGAAGTCTTGTAATATGTTCACCAGCAGCAGCAATCTGTAGGCATAAATAACACGTGTTTAGGACGCAGTTTCACCATGTACGTTTAACAAAACAGTAGTCATAGTCTTCCTACTGTGGTCTACGCTATCCTTAGTCACAGGTTTGTGCCCAGCTTACACATTGTTGTCCTGTGGAGTAGGTTTAAATTCATCTGGAAAGTTGTTGGTTGCACCGTATTAGTTAGGCCAGTATTATATCAGTATTCACATTTTGCTTGGCATAGCCACCAAGATTATTGAGCTATAATTCTTTTCCATCATCCTGCCATAATGCTGACTGGCACCACAAATGCTAGCCATTAGGGAGGACATTGCCAGTTTGATTTATTTGTCATGCAACCAGAGTGCCACATTAGGGACTTGATATCTACTTGTGGCATGTAACCATCATCAATGGCAATAGCCTGGACAATGTCAAGAGGATTTATTTGATAGTGTAGCTTCACAAAAGTTGATGGGAGTCATGAGTGGTATAGTTTTAGTGAGTCAGCCATATTGCTGGTGACATGCTTTAGTGTCAAAGCCAACCATAATTTCTCAGGGGACTTCCTGGTGGTTTGGCTACCTTTTGAGTCACTCATGCACCTATAAAGAGCCCTTAGTAAATATACTCGTTCACAAACTGGACTTGGATGAAATCTTCCGTGTGTGGATGTTCTGTCTGGGGTGGATAGACACTTTCTTTGTACTTCTTTATGAAAAGTCCTGTTATAATCAACATATTTCCAAATTATACGGTATTATCAATGACAAAAGCATAAATTCTTGGTCCTATCTTACTATCTAGATTCAAGTCCCAAGTATATACTTTTAAGAGCTGTGGAATTTGGGTAAATTTCTCTTTATGTCCCCATTTGTTTATCTGCAAAATGGGGATGATAGCTACCAATCTCATGGAATTGTTGCAGGAATTAATTCAACTCTAATTTTACAGATGGTGGTTATCTATTAATGGTATACACTCTATATATACTATATATTCTAACTATTATACATTCTAACTAATGTATTAAATTTTCTGGTGAAAGCTGTTGTATAGAGTAGTAGTATTTTGCCTTTGTGAGGAGAAAAGAGCTTAAGCTGTGGGAATGCTTTTATTAGATATTATGTGGATAGTGGTCATCGCTATTGCTGATTTACCTGAAGAAACAAATTGTTTATAGCTAGAGTAGTATCACATAGTACTGTAGTAAAGGCCACTGACCTGGAAGCCAGAGAACTTGGGTTCTGATCCCAGGTCTGCCACAAAAATCCCCTGTTTTGAGTACTCTGATTAGGAGGAAGACTTCATAATTGCCAAAGCCTCTTTCAGCTGACTATTCTCGTTTTTGTGACATAAAATAAATCTTGTAAATTGGATAGAACTTAAGCCTAATCCATTATCCCCTTATGGTGTGAAAGGAAATGTCTGTTGGCATGGTTGTAATGGAATAGTAGTGCCAGCATCCCCCTTCCCAGAATTGTTACTCAATCTCAGATAGGAAAATGTTGTCCATTGCAGGGATAGCCGGCTAACACGTCACCTCTTATCCATCTTTAATTCTTTAGTGGCGTGTGTTACAGTCCTTGAGCCAAGATGAACTGATACTGTAGTTAAAAGTGATTTGCTCTTTGAAAAACCTTAAATGATAATACATGAAGGCATTCTAACCATACAGCATTAAAGAAAGCATTTTCCAGCAAAGGTAAATTCTGTTAGTAAGTAGAATAGTAGGCAACCAAACCTTAGGATGGCTGCAAATTATGTCTGATGGCAAAGCTGATATCCAATTTCATAAGTAGAAATCTTGACCAAAAATTTTCTATAGTAATTAGTAATTAAAATGCTTAATATTTTTGTTTTAAATTGCTATATAGTTTAGAGTTGAGACATGGACCAAATGTGGTTTTGTATTTAATATGCTAACAATATTTTTTAAATTTTTTAAATGATTGGGAGAAAAAGGCTGATTTGATTACACATGCAAATTATTTGAATTACTATTTTGTGTCCATAAGTAACACTTTACTAAACAAAACTAAGTTCATTTTTTTCATATTTTGCCTTATGATACTTTTGCCTTAAACAGCAGTTGAATAGTTGACATGAAGACTATTTACTCTCTGGCTCTTTATAAAGTGTGCCATTCATCAGGTACATGTTATTTTAATTTACAAATTACAAAATAATTTACAGTTAAAATGTAAAAAGCAAAATTAGGGAAAGGAGCATTGATGGAGTTAGAGGAAGGTGGATAATTTAATCTGAGAGTCTGTCTATCATGTATGTTCATTAGAAACCCAGAACCAGGTTTTTATTGGGGGCTGATCATAAAGGTACCTTTAGGCTGACTGGTACTGAAATTTCATACTCCCAGATAGAAAGTAGATATCAGTGAATACTCTTTGTACAAACAGGTAGGATATGTATTTAGGTAAATTTATTATCAGTCTAGGGAACTTGATCAGTCTTGTGTACTGGTCAAGTTACCAGATCTAGTTCCTTGCCAAGTTAGTGAGTCAAAGATCAACTTGCATCATAGCAGAAAACCTTAGGATTGATGTAGAGAGCAATGATTCATAGTTGTTTTTTGTTTGTTTTGTTTTGTTTTTTGAGACGGTTTCCCTGTGGCTTTGGAAGCTGTCTTGGAACCAGTTCTTGTAGACCAGGCTGGCCTCGAACACACAGAGATTTGCCTGTATCTGCCTCCCGAGTGCTGGGATTAAAGGCATGCGCCACCACTGCCCAGCCATAGACTTTTTCTTTAATGTTATGAATAATTTTGGAATTACGGGTTAATATGCTTCTTATATATTTTTTCTATGGCTTTAAGGGATATTTAAAATGCATGATTTCATTCTTCCAGCTACTATGTTAATCACATGGTCAAATATATTATGTGTCTTGGTTTACACAGTGTAATAATATAGAGCCTAAAATCTTACAATCTAATATTAGGTAAGCTTCATTAGGTTGTGAGATCTAATGTTGATGGTCTCCCCTTACATGGTTTTAAGTAAGTAGGGTTCTTAACAACTCTAAGTATACTTTGTACATGGTAGTAATACAGCCTTCCTAAGAAAAATTTACATGAGGCACCTAGACTGGAATGCTATCACTTAGTACTGAGTGGCTCTTTTGTGCTTTTGTAGCTTTCCTTTTTTTCCTTTTACTTCAGAAGTGATTTCTCTTCTTTTTACTTTATTTTTTTTAGTTGATTATTTTAATGACTTGCTATTAGAACCTAAATCTAGATGGTTTCTTGAGTTAAAGTGTTTTCTGAAAATACTCCCATTTTCACTATGTATGCACAGTGCAGCTTTAGAGGCCTTCCTTAGTTGTCGAATCTGCATCTTGATGGTTCTGCTGTTACTGATTTATCTCCTACTGTACTGAAAACAACATTTTCTTTTGTTGACATTGACAAGCTTTTTTTCTCCCTATAGCTGTGCCTTTGGCTGCCACAAGTATGTTGATTACTCAAGGATTAATTAGTAAAGGTAAGTATTTAGATTGCACATTTATTTAGCATTTTGGATAGCTTTATCTTATCCTGATTTTTAAATAAGGAAATATGATCACTAATAACTTTATACAGTTTTAATAGAATTTTGTCTTTCTGGACTTACTTGATTATATTGATTTGACATTTTGATGGTATTGGGGCTGGGTATGTATTTTAATTATTACAGCACCTGTCTATATGTAGGAAACTCCCAGGTTTGAACAAAAAACTGGGTGTAGTGTCATATACCTGTAATCCTAGCACTTGGGAAGTAGAAGCAGGAGGTTCAGAAATTCAAGGGCAGCCTGGGCTCCTTTGAGACTCTGCCTCAAAAACAAACAATAACAAAACCCAACCAACCAACTAGAGAATTTGGTATTAATAACAATCTACAAAAGCAAGAAAGTACTTTGACATTTGTTGATAGGTCTGGAGATAGGTTTAGTGGTTAAGAATACATAACTACTTTTCCAGAGGAGGACCTGGGTTTGGTTCCTATATCCACTTCAGCTTTTGTACAACTTTGTAACTCCAGCTTCAGGAAACACATATGGCTTACACTCACACAGGCATACATTAAAAACCAATCATCCAACTCTTGTGGCTAGTTTGCAAGGAGAACAGCAAACCTGGACTAGCTGAGCATTCTTACTTAGAGGTTGTTCGAAATGCAGATTCTAGGGCCATATCGGTCATATTGAGTCATTACAACAATCTGTTTCACAGATTTAAGGTGATTCATATGCACTGGCTTAAATACCTAGTTTTCTATACTAGCTTTGTCTTCTCATCTTAGGGAATAGGTAAGGATGAGCTAACATTTAAAGAAAGTTTAGAGGGCCTGGAGAAGATGACTCAGCAGTTAAGAGTGTTTGTGTTTGCAGAATACTCTAGTCCAGATCCAAACACCCTTGTGATGGTTGACAACTATTTGTAACTCCTGTTCCAGAAGAGGGCCTGACGCCTTCTTCTGGCCTCTGTAGGCACCTTGTATGGCACACAGGCAAAGCATCCAGTCTTTAAAATAACAGAAATACAGGGATCGGACTAGTCTTGTAGTTTTTACCTGTCTTTGTGTGCATGCAGGTGCAACCTTGTCAGCCATTCCTCAAGCATCTGCAGTAGAATTAGGCAAGAGGGCCAGCAAGCCCTAGTTCTAGGGTTATAAATGAACACTTTACCAACTGAGCTATGTCTCCAAACCATGATAATCTTTTTTTTTTTTTTTTAGAAGTCCTCAAAGAGGCTAAATACTTCTGGGATTGACTTTAGGTTAAATATTAATGTATCAGTAGTGTAGCCAGCAGAATTACTAGTTAAATAAACTTCATGAATTACTGGCCAGTTGTAGCCTCTACCTGCATAGTTGGCAGGGAAGCATTTCAGAAAGCAGTGGCAATGTTAGTATGAGTCCAGACGATTTAAAAAAAATCTGTTAATTAACTAGTTCCTCTGTAAATGTGAATATAATAGAATGTGTTTTAGATTTTTTAAAAATATTTACTATAAGAAGACACAATTTGATATAGCTCAGGCTGGCCTTACACTCAGTATATAGCTAAGAATTGCCTTGAACTACTAATCCTATCTCCACCTGCCAGGTGTGGGATTGATTCTGGGAGTCAGAACTAGTGCCGTGTGCATGGTAGGCATAGGTGCAGTCTGTCATCTGAATTACCTGCTCAGCTCCATTTTAGCTTTATCACATTAAGCACTCTGAACTAGATCATAGTCTTGACAAAACTAGTTATTCAGAGGCTTTGTTTTGACTATTCATCATGGTCATAGAAAAAGAAAAGTAGTTCTAGGGTTGGAGGTATAACTCAGTAATAGAGTTCTTGCTCCAGTATTCAATCTCAGTTCCCATTTATAAAATGGATTTGGGGCAGATATCTGGAGCTTAGTGAATAAAGTTCTTATAACTGAGAACTCAAGATTAATCCCCAGGACCCATGCAAAGCTGCAACCATACAACATTGTACGTGGCTGTAATCCCATGGGTTCTGCAGTGAGACAGGCGAATTCTAGAAGCTCACAGGCCAGCCAGCCTGTCATACACAGGGATAAACAAAGATACCATCTCAAACAAGGAGGAAGGTGAGGACTGACCCTTGGGGTTGTCCCATTCCTAGTACACACAAATGCATTGAGATGGGAATGGATGGATCTGAAGCGGAGGGTAATAAAATATTGGAGGCATTTGTAAATAATCTCAATACAATGTGTTATATGATCAAAATCTTAAATATGGAAGCAACCAAGAAGTATACACAGTTATGTGCACTTAAAGCTAAGTTGTTTCCTTCCTAAGAGAGAATCTGTATTGGGGGAAAATCAATTTAGTCACATTAGTTTAAAGAAAAAAACTGACAAAGGAGTCAACGGAGAAATCAGTGTCAGTTCATCATGTAATATGTTGCATTCCAGCATGTCACTTAACTAAGAATAATCAGAATTAGGCACATAGGCTTGTACAAAAGAAATTGAAGAGCTATAGTCGTTATCCTAAGAAACATGCATGTGAGCACAAACTGAAGCAAAGAGGCAGTATGTTGTGAAATACTCAGTTACAGGTATTCAAAGAAGATGATACTTGTCAATCTCTAAAAGAAGTGATTCTGGGTGAAAGCAAAGGAAGAGTGTATCAGGAAGGAGGAACATGACTGACGGGAAGGGGTATGTGTGAGTCTCTGGGTTTAATGGCCAGTGCTCCTCCTTCCACCCCTCATCCCAGAAGGATATTAGTAGGTATAGAAGCAAGATCAGGAACCCCATTAATAGGTAAGTTAGAACCAGAAGAAGTAATAATTATTACTGTGTTGGATTATGGTGTGAAGAAGGATTTTTTTTTTTTTTTTTTTTTTTTTTGCCTGTGGTGGCACAAAATCCTAGGCAGTTGAGGATAAGTTAGAAATTGAAATCAGGACAGGCATTTTGGAAGGGAGTCAGACAGGATCTCCAAAGACATGACATTTTACCCTGATACTAGCCTCTTGTCCTTAGTATGTTGTGCTTGACATGCTGTACTAGCTGTTCCCTGTTCTCAACTGTTTCAAATATGATCTCATATGTTTTAATCCATTGCAGTCTATGTCACTCATTTTCATGTTTATCCTTGTTGGAAACGTCAAAGGTCATCACCATAACCTTTGTGATACTCAAATGGTGGACAGTTTTTGTCTTTGACCAACATGACTCACCAGTACCAATTTTTCTTTTGGGGGTTGGGGGCATTCAGACTGGATCTCCAGGCCACCCTTGAAGGCAGAGATGTTTCTATCTCTGCTTCCCAAGCACTGGTGTTAAAGGCATGCACCTCACACTTGGCTCCATTAGCCACTTCTTGAAGCGCTCTTTTTGTTGCATTTGTTGCATACCCTGCCTTGCTCAATTTTTTCATGCTTTTGAATAGCTGATATGTACTCTACTGTTTTCATGCTATGTAGCACAAAAAGACGTTTTTTTTTTTTGTCTTATGCTCACATTTATGTTGATTTTTCATTTGTCTTAGAAATGTTGATATTCTTTGGAGTTCTGTTTTGGCTTTTTGCTTATATTTTGTGCACATCTTTTATTATAAGGAGACCTGGAAATTGAATCCAGAGCCTTGTACTCACTGAGCTACACACCAGTCTCAAGTCTGTGTACTCTAAGCTATCAGTGACATAGATTTTAGTGATAGTGCTTACAGCTAAATCCCCATGATTGGATCATCAAGATGACTTGGAAAGTACATGTGCTTACTGCTAAGCCTGACAACCTGAGTTCTGTCCTCCAAGTCCACATGGTGGTAGGCATATGCCACCTTCTGCCAGTTTTCCCCTGTACTTGCGGTGCCACGCAGCCACACACTCATACATGCACACAATAAACAAAGTTCCCATGATTATCTCTATCCAGCATTGATGAACTACTTAACAGAGTGCAATTTGTACAGGTATTGTGGTCTCTTTAAAATCTTGGTCTACCTGGGTGAGAAGGTGGTCTCGTACAATTTTTCCCTTAAGCTTTTTTTTCATAATTAAAATTGGCAGCCACCTGGAAGCAACGTACATGTTATTGATCTGCACTGTTTTGAAAGGACCGTTTTTATTTACTGCACTGAACCATTGCTTTTTCTTTTTATTAAAAACAGTGTATGTATGAGTCCATTTCTGGATTCTTTGTCTTACTTTTGTATTATAAATGACTGTTTTAATTACTTTATCAGAACTTGGTACTTGGTGATAGTTTATTAGTCTTCAATGTTGTCTTAGTTCTTTGTGTCCACATACAGTTTTTAGAATATGCAAAACATGTTTTGATTTTAAGTGAAGCCTTGAGTTTGTAGATGCATTGCCTTAAAAATGTTTAACATTTCACCTCTAGCATGAAGTATTTCTTCAAATTCCATATTAATTCCTTTGTCAGTCTTCTAGTTTTTAGTGTAGAGCTGATTTTTATGACTGATTAGAGTTCTTCCTGCTCTTGGATAATTTTCAGTCCTGTAATTAATCATATCTTTTAAGACTTTGTTATTCTTGATCTCAGTAGATAGAAATATTTACATAGCCTCTTGACTGTGTCAAGTGGTCATTCTGCATTTACCTATTGCAACGGTCTATAGTGTTTTGACATTTAGGAAAATTTCTCCTTTCTTTTGACACTGAAGTCACAAAAGAATTATTGTTGGCACTTGCTGTTTTAAGATGGTTGAAACTGGTTTTTCCTTCTCTAACAATTCACTCAAATACTTAACTCTTCTTTAGGAATCCTGTCAAGTCATCCAAAGTATGGCTCCATTCCTAAACTTATATGTAAGTATGAACATATGAACAGTGCAGTGTTTTTCCTATCCATTTTACAAATGATTAAATCAGATATTTTGAGTTACTAATATCACATGTTTATATGCTGCCACAAATCAAGTTTATATGCTGTCACAAATAAGCTTTTTAATAAGTGCACTGCTTGATAATTTTAATGTCAGCATAAAAAGTCCTGTGCCATTTTGTAATAAAAAATAACATTTCATTTGCTATTACTTTATACATAGTACTTAAATACATTCTTGCTCTGTTTATAGTAAAAGAAAGTTGCTTCGATATCCTACTAATCCAAATAATTATGTCTAGAATTGGCTTTTTTCCCCCATTAACTTATATTCCACTTTGTGGCTAACAAAAAAAGAAGTTAAATTGTCCTTTTGAAAATGAATATGCCCTTTATGAATATTTTTTGGGACAGCTTCTCTTGTATTGGAAACACACATGATATAACAATGTCATATTTAGGTCAGACTTTGTAATTCATTATTTTAATGGGCTTTGTCTTACTGAGTTTTGTTTTTAAGGCATTCTTGTAAAATTGTTGGGGCTTGTAGCATAATTCCATTTTATAATAAAAGAAATGTCCCAAGTTCCCTATTTGGTTGCTTGCCCACCTCTCTCTGTCTTGCTCTTGTCTATGAAGTGGTATATTGGGATTGTTTATGTTATCACTATTTTACTTTGAAGTGACTTAGTTTGGGAAAAATTAATTATATCATAGACTTTCCCTATGAATTTTGTGTAAAGATCTTTTATCATCATTTTAGGTACTCTTGGTCTCATAAAACCTTAGAGATATTTATCTTTTTTTTGGCCATGAATCTTTTATTTGGTAAACAATATTGATCAAATGTTGTTAAAAATGCTGTTTCAGAAAAAAAAATTTTGCCTAAAAAGGCCCATTCAGTGACAAAATTTTTTGTTTGATTTTTAAAACAGTTGCATGTATCATGGGATACTTTGCTGGAAAGCTTTCTTACGTGAAAACTTGCCAAGAAAAGTTCAAGAATCTTGAAAACTCCCCCCTTGGAGAAGCTCTTCGGTCAGGCCAAGCAAGGCGCTCTTCCCCACCTGGGTAGGTCTGCCCTTGGCTCCACTTAGTGGTTTTGGTTTTTAAGAAACAAAATGCAAAGCTGAAGCTGCCTGTGGAATGGCCATTTGCTGTAGTCCAGAAGTGTTTTGCCTTAAAAAGTAGAATAAGATTTGGCTGCTTTTATATAACCTGTCCAAGAATTAAAGGACTTTTATTTTGATTGAATTTGGCAAGCTACTTTATTGTGCTCATTAGGAAAATAAACCTAGCAGAAAGTTCATTTTTCATGAAGCTAGCAGTACATTTATGTTTGCTTTAATTGTCTTATACCAATAACTGGAGATATTTTTTTTTTTTGAGACAGGGTTTCTCTATGGCTTTGGAGCCTGTCCTGGAACTAGCTCTGTAGACCAGGCTGGCCTAGAACTCACAGAGATCCACCTACCTTTGCCTCCCAAGGTAAAAGCCTGTGCCACTACCACCTGGCCAGAGATAAATTTTAAAGTATATATTTCAAAAATGAGCTGGTGCATAAATAAATATTTGGTATAAATCGATGCAGGTAGTTTGAATTTAATTGTTTGTTTTTGTTATTTATAAAGTTGTAAATCCGATAAAAGAAAAAAACAAAATCTATAGTTTCAGGTTATTTACAGCTTTAAGTAGAGGAAAATTGAGAGTTGGCTTCATGTCCTGTGTAAGGGAATGAATGAAATCATGTTAAGTGTAATAGTGGGTATTGTGAGTTACTTTGACTATAAAGTCTGTGAAGTATCTGGGTGAAATATTTTTTATAAACTGAAAAGATAAAATTATAAAATAATGTATATATAAATATTGTGTCTAAAGAAAAGTTTATACCAATTAAAAATAGTGTAAGAGATTAGTAATATGGGTTATGATCATCAGATTTTACCCTTTTACCCAAACTTCTGCAATGTGGTTTTGATATTTGAAGTTAAAATTAAATCTTTCAAACAAAACAACTACAGCAAAAAATTTGTAAAATGATAACATGGTGGGGTGACATATATAGCCTACCATTTGGAAAGTTGAATCAGAATTGTCAGATCAGCTGGGTTACATCTTTAATATCCTGTCCCCAAAACAAAACACTTTGAAATAAGCTATGTATAGTAGTGCATGCTATTAATCCCAGCACTTGGGAGGCAGAAACAAGCAGACCTCTGTGAGTTCAAGGCTAGCTTCATCTACAAAGTGATATCCAGGACAGCCAGGGCTACCCTGTATTAAAACAATAACAACAACAGCAAAAAAATTTATACTTCTAAATCTAGTAAAGCAATATTTAACCCATTGCTTAGTTTCTTCAGATTGTGGTTTGGGTTTTTTAAAAGATTTATTTATTATATATATATAGTGTTCTGCCTGCATGTATACCTGCATGCCAGAAGAGGGCACCACATCTCATTGCATTTGGTTGTGAGCCACCTTGTGGTTGCTGGGAATTGAACTCAGAACCCCTGGAAGAATAGCCAGTGCTCTTAACCTCTGAGCCATCTCTCCAGCCTCATGGTTTGGGTTTTATATTGTGAAAATATAAATAATCTGTATGGGTAGGTAAATACATAAGTAGTAAGATCATTAAGCAGACTGGTGAATTATTTCATAGTGGAAACTATGTAAATTTTATGAGAAATAATAATGCCTGTATCTCTGTCAGCAAGTCATGGATTATATGGGCTATGGGCTGTAGCTATGAAATAATACCCTCCTCAGAGCTGGGATTACCATGTTCACCGTCATGTTTAGTTAGTGACCATTTTTTAGGTGCCAAAGTGGGTCAGGACATAGCTGGACTACTTTTATAACAGAAACAAACCATTCACCTATTTATAAATAATTTAAAATTATGGTTATTTTAGAAATCCATAGTTTATATTTATCCCTTAATCTAAAGGAAATGATTTCTTGTTCTTATGTATTATAATGTTCTTTTTACAGGCACTATGCTCAAAAGTCAAAATATGACTCAAATGTGAGTGGTCAGTCTTCTTTTGTGACATCTCCAGCAGCAGACAACATAGACAAGGAGACACTTCCTCGTTATGAGCCAATTCCATTTAGTGCTTCTATGAATGAATCCACTCCCACTGGTATTACTGACCATATTGCCCAAGGTAGAAACTTCTCTTGAAATGAATTTCAGCATTTTATGGTCCAACGTATGTATACACTTTATTTGATGCTCTTTTCTGCTGGATATCACCTCTGTGTGCTACCGTCAGCTGTCAGCTTAGCTTCATCCATCAGCCTGACTCAGCATGTTTGTTCTTTTCATTAGTTTCCTTATTCACCCAGCATACTCTTGCTAGGTATGGAAAAAATGAAGACAAGCAAGGTCTGGTTCTTATCCTTGAAGTGTTTTGGAGGATACAGAGATAGATGGATAAGTTTCAGATTGTCCCAATGGTTGAAAATGTTCACAAATGTAGAGGAGCAGCAAAGAAGTGATAACTGGGGACAACAGAGGCTTCAGGAAGGTGTAGGTTGGTTACATTTGGTAAGTTGGTTAGTCTTTAAGGCTTTTAGTGTCCTGCCTGTAATTGTAAGAAAAAGTTTTTCTTGCTTTACAGCATTGTTGTCACTTGAGGAAATACACTTGAAAATTCATCGTGAAGTTTGTGTAAATACTACTAAGTTCAGAGTACAGAATATGTGAAGTAAAAATTTTGGATTAAGGCCAGGATTTAAGTTATGTTTAAAATTTGCTGTGATTTTGTAATTAGTCATTATTGAGTAGCTAATTTGTGATTATTCATCTTGAATGGAGATAGTAATGCTTCTCAAAGAACTGTTGGGATTTGATGAAATAATCATAACACAATGCTAGTAGACAATAAACTGAACATAAAAATGTTATTCTTTCCTTTCATTCTACTCTACAGTGAAAAGTAGGGACGTAGAAACAGAGAACTGGTCTGCAATTTTTATCTAAACCCGAAAACATCAAGAGCCATGAAAACCTGATTTGGCAGTAAATTGTGATATAGCCTTTATTTTACTTTATTTAAAAAGGTTTTTTCCTATATTTTGTTATTGGGCTATTGATATGTTTGCTTATGCATTCCTGTCTTGACCTTGCTGGGGATATTACACAAGATAATGTTTTTCTCGAATTTGTGACATCCCTAACTCAAAGGGCTTAGTGGACCATTGTAAAATATGCTTTGAAAATGGTTTTGAAGGCTAATTTAGCAACAGTTAGGGGTTTGGCTTTATTTTTGTACTTTTGAATCTAGAGTGAATCTACATGCAGGTTAAAGAGAGGAAGGAGAGTTCATTGAAAATGAGAAAATGATGATAAGGAATATTTAAAAAGGTGCCAAAAGGGACCTAGGTATCTTTTATAAATAAAGTATCACAAGCCAAAAGTGACTTTGTAAGTTTTTTAGAACCAAATGAAATGTAGTTATTTTCTGTGACCTTGGTAGCATTTCAGTTGCTCAGTAGCCATGCTTGCTTGAGGTACCTGGTGTAGATGTGGCAGTGTAGAATGCTGTCACTGAAGAGTTACTGGACACTAAGCTTTATTGTGAAAGTTTGGGCACAGGGGAAGGGACTCTTATAGAAGATAAAAGTCTTGAGTTCAAGAGAATATTGTTGGATACCTTAATCCTAAGGCCTCCATGCTCCCTCTGGTTGGCACCAAAGATAACCAAATTAGAACAGAAAAGAGATGGACAGAGTAGACACCGTGGTAGCTCTGAAGGCTGCTGTTCTTGTCCTTGACCTGTGTTTTGTTTTTTCAGTCAAGTTCCCATCCATTCTTCCTGTGTTCTAGCATGCACCAGCTCTTTCTTTGCTGTGTTGTCCATCCTTCCTACCATTTCACCAGCAAATTCTTGTGTTCTAATTTCACTTTGGTCTTTACTCTCAAATGAACTGGTCCATATTTAATAAAACTTTAATGCCCTCCTCTGCAGCTGTCCATCTGTCCACTTCTGGTTTTTGTATGTGTGTTGTCATCTTCACCTCTAGGTCAGACTTCCGCACCATTGTTCCCCACGTGAGTTCCTGGAGCTGCCTTGCTTTGCCCAGCTGCTGCCCTTCCTTTTTGGGCACCTTCTTTTCCCTTTTTCTTGTTTGCCCATGATTTAGCTTTCTTTTTCAAGAATTCCAAGGACTTAGTGATCTTTTCAAAGTAGATGGCATTCTGCTGTATCTGTTAGAAAAATTACCTCGGGCAGTTGGTTGGTTCCGGACAGTACTGTTGCTCACTTTCTTATTCCTTCCAGGTCTTAGTAACGCTCACAGAGCAGTAAAGTATATTTACTGTACCAGAATGCTTTTATTCAGCTATATATGGAGAAAGTATCTGCCATTTATCACAGATAACAGAATAATGGTGTTTCTTTTTTGCCTAAGAAAAAAACCTGGAAGGAATTCTAGAGATCATGTATTTAAATTATTTCACAGTTAGAAAAAGCCAGATTCAGAGAAGCTTAGTGATTTGCCCAAGGACTTGTCCCTGAAAGTTCCCACAACCTCCTTGGGACTTTAGACATACCTGTTGGGAGAGGAAATGAGTTCACGGGTTATTTACATTATCACTAATGCAATCCAAGTCTTTAAAATTGACATAAGATTATTTTCTAAGTTAATGTAATATTATTTTTCTTATCCAGAAAAAATGAGTTTCTAATCATGGCATACTAGAACAAATTATAAATTTAACTCTTGTTTCTTTGTATTGATGCAGTAGGCATTTACCAAAATTAAAGATTGGAGTTGAAAATGCTATTTAATAATATAGTACCTTGTTACTTAGAGAATTCTGATTATTCACTAGACTTTTAAATAAATACCATTATGAAAATTGAAAATTTAATTTAGTAGTGAAATAACATGCTCAGTTTATGTACTTTGCTGGAAAGTACTTTTTGTGAGGTATATAAAACTTGAGTAGATATTCTCTGAATGTTATCAGTTATTCTTTTGAAATGTTCTTATGGTTTTTTTTTTTTTTTTTGCTATTTATATACTTAAACTGTGTTGCCCACTTTGTTTAAAGGCTGTTTCATACCATGGAATAGTTATTTCAATTATTTTTGTTTAAAACCCATAAACATAGTTAAAAAATAAATTCAGGTAGTATTTGCCCATAGAAGCATTAATATGATTTACTGTGAGGTTTTGTGGCCAGTAGACTCTAATTCTATTCCCAGTATAATGACATTTAGTGAGTTAAAGTCACACTTTTAGATCTTACCATTGTTATTCTTTTACTGACCATGGCTGAGTTTATAAAACTTTTGATACTAATGGTGAATTTCAGAAGTACAAGGAGGAAGGATTGTACTTTGCAATTGTCTTGGAGGAAGCCTAGTGCCTTTGGAGTAGTAGTAATAGTTTGATCTTATATTTCAATTTTTCTGTTTCAGTTTTAGATAAAAGCATTTACAGAATTTGGTATTTTAGACTTATCTACTTCTTATCACCACTTATTAACTGTTTGTTGTTTTAGGACCTGATCCCAACTTTGAAGAAAGTCCCAAAAGAAAAAGTATTACATATGAGGAATTAAGGAGTAAGAACAGAGAGTCATATGAAGTAACTTTAACACACAAGACTGACCCCTCAGTCAGGCCTATGCAGGAAAGAGTGCCCAAAAAAGAAGGTATGACAGTTTAGATTGGAAGCTGAAGTTTCAGCTCTAAAAGTTATTATATTAATATGTTTTTAACAATTCAAGCTATTTACAAAAATCAATTCTTTTTAAAAGAATAGTTATTTCAGAGTGGGCTAAATGGGTCATCAGGTAAAGGCACTGTCACCAAGCCAGATGACCTGAGTTCAGCCTGGGGATCTATATGATGGAGAGAAAAGAACCAACTCTATAAAGTTGTTCTCTGGTATTATGCAATACACATACAAACAATAATAAATTCAATTTTTAGAAGTTTATTTCATAGTTACCACTTCTCATTTTTTAAGGTATTTTGGAGGGTATTTTATACAACAAACAAAAGCCTAGATAGCAAGGCACAAGACAAGGAAACCAGTTCTCTAATACAGCGTTTTCCCTTACAAGGAATCACCTTGGGAATTGGTAGTTTTTCCTAACAATTCAGTGTGTCTGCTGAATAACCAGTTTAGTGACCTGAGACTAATAACTGGCTAATAAAGATACTTTTGCCAAAAATCATGGAATCATAATTGAGTAGTAAGACACTTTAGGGCATTTCTAGAGGAGGACTTTGACAGTTTCCTCTATAACTAATAAATTTAATTTTTTTGGCCAACAGTATGTTTCAAAAGTAAAAGTTTAGACACTTTATGTAAAGGAAGAAGACTATTTTACTAGGCTTTATAACCATTTCTTTTCTGTTTAGAATTTTATGACTTAAAAGGGAATGTCAAAGGATGGGCCCTGTTTGAAGGTTTTCTGTGCACTCATTTAAAAGTTAAGGGAAGTGGTTAGAAGTTTCCAAGGCCCCTGTTTCTATTAGTAGCACAACAATGTAATAAATACATAATGGGTAAATAAACTCATGGAAAGAATAGATCTATTCTTAGTGCCTTCTGGAGGGCCATATAAAAAAATACATGGCAATCCTTAATATTGTAATTTCTAGTCCCAATTTGATTTCTAATTATTAATGGTTGATTCATTTACAACTGCTTTTATAACAACAAGGCATCATTTTTGTTGTAAAATTCTTTACCTTTGGAATAGATCTGTGATCATGAAACTAAGCTGGTGGCCTCACTGTGTAGGCTTGTCCTTTGTGCTGATTGACTATGGCTCAGACTGTAAGCTCCTTGAGGGCAGGAAGCTATTTCCTCCTTTTTGTGCTCCTTTATGCTGTGTCTCACATAGCATTTGCATTTGTGTTAGAACTGAGTTATTGCATTTTATTTTTATTGATTCATTTCAAACTGATAGGCTAGAGAAAGAGTTGTGGTGCACTCGGGGCATTTGCTGCATTGACCAGGAGCTCTAACTGTATAGTCTTAGAGTGCTGTTAATAACACTGTAGTAGTAACACACAGCTCTTTTCTTGCTAGAAAAAAAAACTGAGGTTTTTCTTGTGCTTCATATTACAATTTAAAGAAAAGATCTGCTGTGAAATTGTGATTTTTGTTTTTCTAAAATGTTCTTGAATCTAGGCAGAAATTTGGACATTGGTACAATGTAAATTCAGAATCTCTTGAAAGTATTAGTATTTTGAGCTTGAGTTTATATGGATTATGTTTATTGGTACTTATCTCACTGGAAATTAAGATAGGAAGCATATATTAGCAGATCAGTATTATCACACATCATGGCTGTTTAGAAAACTGCCATGTGAGGGAATGGGGCAAGTGTGGTGTGATTGTAGTGTGATAATAAAAGGGCAGCTTTGACTTCATAGATTCTCAGAAGAACCCACATTGAAGTCAGTGCTTTACATTAGGATGGCTTCTTTGCCATTGGAGTATATTCACAGATGGAGGCTATGTAGACGGGAAATGAAAGAGTGGAGGGAATAGGGGCTGGGGGCAGCTCAGTGTGCCTTGCCAGCATGCCTGCCCTGGTTCCATCCGCACTGCCAAACAAGGCAAAGGGGTGAGTCTCAACATTTAATATTTAAGGTGCCAGAGTATGGGAAATAGTTTCTCCTGGTCATTTGATAGCTGATAGGAGAGATTGAATTAACTACATTTCTGATATTTAATTTTTGTGAAAAGCAAAATTCCAAGTTTATTAGTGTTTTTTTCTTTCTTTTGGTAAATTTGTTTTGGTATGTACTATCATGTACACCCACATGCTCATTTAGGTAAACTTGTAAAGGCAAGCACCCAGGCTTTGGACTTAACAAATCTCCAAATCTTAGTTTGTTAAGGCTTATACCTTGGGCAAGTTACTAATCTGCTGTCTCACCTTTAAAATGGGGATTGTGCAGGGCTTTGTAAAGAGCATTTGTAGTCAGAGCCCTGACTACACAATGCGAACAGTTTTTCATCAGTCATAACAGACTTAAAGTGGTTTCTTTTACTATTTGGAATCATCAGTTATTTGTGCTTTTTTCCTAGTCAAAGTAAACAAATATGGAGATACTTGGGATGAATGAGAAACTCCGTCATTGAACCTACTGAAGGCTTTCCATATCCGGCTTCATCCAGGTGGTCGCCCACACCTGCATGCTTGGACTCAGCAGCAGTCTTCATAAACACATTTAAAACAAACCCTGGTTTGTGTGACTTAACATATGATGCTTTACAAACACAGATTTTAGTGTTTACTGTTGTGCAAATGTACTGACCCAGGACACTCAGAATGATGATATTATGCCATGGTTGTGTATACTTGGTAGAACTGTTTTTGGTTACAGGGAGAGAGACTCATGAAACTTGACTGTGACTCTAGATGAACCTACGTGAGAATAAGTGATAGTGCATGTTGAAAGGGGAGGGGGTTGGGGGGAGCAAGCCCATGCCTCGGGTTCAGCTTTACACCAGTTATTAAAGGCCTTTCTTCAGCATTTGCCCTAGCATCTTAATGTTTATGGTGAATAAAATGTAAAAACACATAGCAGCTGTCATTTTCAATTTTATGGCTTGGTTTGAAATTTTCATGTATGGCTCTAAGTAACTAGTATTTTAAGCAAAAGAAAATAGAGATGTGTGATGTGTTAGACATCAGTATACAATCAATAATAGCTAAATATCTTTAAAAAGCAGTGTTCTTCATGATAGCTTTTTGTTACTAGAACAAAATCTCTGAGACAATAAAGAGAAAAACCTTACTTTGATTGGTTCAAGCCTGGTGAAGCCATGCGTGTTCAGGAATTAATGGCAGGTCAAAGCCACTTAAATTATCAGCAAGAGAATCAAAAGCTGTTGTCCCACAGTCTTGCTCTGAATTTTCCACAAGGCCTCACCTCTCAAAGGTCCTACTACAGCCCATTGGTGCCACTCTGGAGACCAAGCCTTTAACACTTTAACTTCAAACTAGCAAAGCTATATTTTCAAATTTTGCTAAAATTTCATTATTGACCTAAAGTTTATTTCTGGTTCAGGTAAATTAAAAAATGTGGTCTTAGGCCAGAAACATATTTTAACTGTCATTATAAAATAGCCCCAAATTTGGTGCTTTATGGCTGAGCTTAGTGGTACTGTTAACTCCAGCATTTGTGAGACTGAAGCAGGAGGGTTCAAGTTTGAGGCCAGATAGGAACTATCATATAGTGACTTCTAGACTATCCTGTGCTACATAGTAGAATTCTTAGAGAACAAACCAGAAAGGAGTATCTCACTTTGCTCTTGAGTTAGGAAAACAGACAGGATCCAGGTGAGCCAGTTGGCTGTGGGTGTTTTCTGGTTGCAGCGGGGTGTTTTCTGGTTGCAGCGGGGTGCTTGACAGCTGAACCCAGAGCTCCTGGATCTGCTAAGACAGGTCTTCCCAGTTAGTTTTAGGATGTTGGTATGTCTGTGTGGATTAGATCAGACTGGGCTTCCTTGCACTGTGGCAGGCTTGGGTGATCTTGAAGATTTGGGGCTTGTGTGTCAGTGTGAAAAGAAAGCATGCCAGCACTACCTGCCTGTTTGCAGCACCAGCTTATTTACTAGAATGGGGTTCCAGATTCTGCTCTGCCCTCCCATGTCTGGCCTGCCTTTGAAATTGCAATTCTGTCTCAACCTCTTAGACAGTGGGATTACCAGCAGGAGCCACTACATCCAACTTTTTTGCTCGATTTTGAAAACAATCATGGAACAGATTGTGTCTCAGTCTGCATTTTAGCCCCATCCACACCTGTATAAGGACTTCTACTTTGTGTTCCATTCCAACAGCTCAAGAGCAGGAGCTCATATAGTCTGGTCTGGGTAGTTACTGTGGGTAAAACTCACAGTTTAGACCTGTGAACTTAACATCTGCTTTGTTTACCCTCATTGGTATTAGACTTAAAGTTACTAGTTAGCCATTGCTGTTGGACTGAAAGCCAAACACAGACTCCTGTCCATAGCTATCCTGAGGTCCAGCCAGTTTCATATCAGTGGGACTTAAGAATACTCCCAGGGGTTAAGTTACTGTTGTAGTCTCTTGACCCTGTCCCTGAATCTTCCTTTTCTTTGAAGGTCTCCCATTTGCTTCTATTGTGTTTTCTAAGCCTACTTATACTCACAGGGAGTTGAGGAGCCAAAGGCTCATGGAGTTCTGCTGGAACCAACTTAAACCTTTCTAAAACCTGGACTTCTCATGGATCAACATACGAATCATTTTACTGCACAAGCCTCCTGTGTCTGTTGGACTCCACATAAGAATAAGATCCGATCACACCTTGGGCTGGTTCTGCAAGGCCATGAAACCCCAGAGAGCCATTTGCATGTTTGAAATGTCTTCTTATTTAAGATCTATGTGTTTTGCTTTCATGTATATGTACCACCTCATGTATGTCTGGTGCCTATGGAGGTCAGAAGAGGGCATCAGATCTGGTAAGTGAGGTTATGGATGGTTTTGAACCACCATTTGGATACTAGAAACCAAATTCATGTCCTTAGGAAGAACAGGTATACTCTTGCCTGCTGAGCCATCTCAGCCTCTGTCCCTGTTTGAAATGTCTTGAGCATTTCCATCTTTCCGAAACTTTGAACACTTCAATTTTTTTGTTGTTTTTGTTTGGTTTGTAATCCTTGTGCTGGGGCTTGAACCCAGAGCTTTGCACATTCTATGCAAATACTTTATCACAAAACTATATCTCCAGCCTTTTTGAATAAAAGATCATGTCCCATTTGGGTTCATCTTTACCTCACCACCATTTCTGAACACAAGGACATTGAGAAGAGTAGAAAGGACTGCAGAGTTTTTTTTATTTCCATCAGATTCCATTTTGAGATGGAGTAATTTGTTCATGTCTCCTTTTGGCATCTGAGAGAGCAAAAAAGCCAGGTGGCTCCTGGCTTAATGCTGCCTGGGAGTGTGAGCAAGACTATCACATTCATCAGACACAAGCGCTGTGGAACTTGGCTGCTTTAAGTTTCTCTTATAGCTTCTAAGTTAGAACTCATCCTTAATCCTTCATGAACTACCCAACCCCCTTTCCATGTTTCATTACACTTCATTCCTCTGTCCTGCTAGCATCTACCTGCTGCTTGATCCTAAAATAAATCTACCAGTTGTACAGTAGGGTTTGGTAGAAAAGCAGAGCTGTTAGGAGTGATGCAGAATAAGGTTGCCAGCGGGAAGTAGACCTTGATATTGGGAAGCTGATGGAAGCTGATGTAACAGTTCACAGGGTACCACCTCTAAATCTAGTACTGACCATGATCCTCCTGTGGCCATGGGGACAAATAGACACACAAAAGGTCTCTTATTTTGACAAATGAAGATAGGTGTGATTGGTTCACAGTAGGAAGGAAAATGCTAAATGACTGTTAAAGGAAGCAAAGTAGGGAGTAGAAAAGAGATGGTGAGAACCATATGGGCTGCTGAAGTAAGTACTGCCCTGAAATCTATTGGCAGCTGTTAACACAGGTTACATTACATTACACCCCTCATTTGTATCTTACTTCCTCCTCTTGAAGGTGGGCCTACCTGTAAATCAGTGGACCCCTATTTTTCATATGTTGCTAATGAATGAAGTCTGAGCTTGATCATGAGGATTGTGACAATGTTATTGACTTGCAAATCCTCATAAAGGAAGACTGGCTTATTTGTTTTTTGGGTTTGTTGTTTTTGTTTTTTGAGACAAGGTTTCTCTCACAGAGATCTGCCTGCCTCTGCCACCTGAATGCTTTGATTAAGGGCATGCACCACCACCACCTGGCAGGAGATTTGTTTTTTAAAAAACATTTTTAGATTTATATGTATGAGTGTTTTGCCTGTATATATGTCTGGAGATCAGAAAAACAGTCAGATCCCCTGCTACTAGAGTGTTTTGTTTGTGAGCCATACTGTGGAAACTGGGAACTGAACCCAGATCCTCTGGAAAAACAACCAGTGCTCTTAAACCTTGAGCCATTCCTCTGGCCCATTCGAGAATATTCTTTATGCTGCTTTGGTTTCTTCAGGTCTCATGTAGCTGGGATTGGCTTGAAACTCACTGTTAGTAGAGGATGGCCTTGAACTCCTGATCCTCTCCACCTCAGAAATGCTAGGGTTGCTGACCATACTAAGCTTGATAGTCCTTACCCATTATACCTCTCAAGTCCACTCTTTTTGCCATTGTCCCTAAACTCTTCTCCTTTCTCTACCATGTGCAGAAGTGAGAGAATATCTCCTAATAAACCAAGTCACTGTTTGAGATTTTTATTCAGAAAGGACTCCAGACAAAGCCCACAACCAAAAGGTTATTTGTTCTGAAGGGCTGGAGAATTACCTTAGTCCCTGTAAAACATTCTGCCTATAAAAATTGGAGCACCTACCAGGAACACCATATATTCAGATGCCAAAATGGAAACTATGGGGCTGGAGAGATGACTCTTCCGAGGATTGGGGTACAACTCCAAGCACCCACATGGTGCCTCACAACCATTCATAACTCCGGTTTCAGGGCATCTGACAACCCTTTTCTGACCTTCAAGGATGCCAGGCACATATGTGGCACACATAAATACATGAAGGCAAAACAGTCATCTAGAAAACTAAAGACTTTAATAACGTACCTACCTGTCTAGTCAGAGGTGTTAAAAAGAACAATTAGAAAGTAGCACAGGGAAACTGAAGAAGTCAAGTGTATAGTTCAGAATGGCCAACTGTATGCACACAAAATGGGAAGAAGACCTTGAAAGTAGTCCATGTGTGGAAGCCTATCCCAAAGCATGACACAAAGGCATGTCTTAGACTACACTAATAGCAGTGACAGTGGTAACAGCTGACTTACAACAGTTCCCACTGTTGTAAACATTTTGTGATTATCAGGTCATTTAATTTTCATGAACAACTTGCCATAGTGTAGGCCTAATTTGATTTCCATTTCAAATGAGAAAATTGGGGCCGAGAATAGGTGAATAATAGCCCAAAGTCAAGAAGCCATTAAATGGGAACCCAGATTGGAAGCATAGGGTCTTTGCTAATGTTCAATGCCTGAACTATCACCATCATCATCACTGTCATCACCATCTTACTATCTTGCTACACTGTGGAGTCTTCACGTGTGAGTACACCAGATGGAATGGTCTCCTTAGACCAGAGTATGGTGAGCTTGGAAACCCACTCCAGTGGTTGAAAAGACTGAAGCTCCTTAACCAGAATTTCCAGAAACATGTTTTTAGGATGTAAAGGCTGTCAGGTAATCAGCTGTTTGGGAGTCACCAACTGTGATTGACACATATTTACAAAGCACCTAGATCTGCAGGACCCATGCATGAAGATTCAGAGAAACGCCAAAGGCAAACATCCTGTCCTTGCCCGGATGTGGTGAAGAGCAAAGCAGGGCTCTTGTGCAGAAAGGGGCTGCTGGGCTAGGGGCTGGACCAAAGCAAGACCAGCAGATGCTCTTCCCCTGGAAGTTCACATGGAGGTCCTGGAGTCTGATCTGCCAGCATGAAAAGGTGGATGGAGCCAGGTAGCATTCAGTGGGTCTCAAGCTCAGAGCAGCTAGTGAGAGTGTAAGCACCAGGAAGGTGGATTGATTTCACTGTTCTACTCCCACACCTTGGGCGGGGTCACAGCACAGCCACACACTTCAGTGTATGATTGACTCACAGTGCAATCCAGTGTACTACCTAGCTGGTTCTCCAGTAAGATCTTGAAACAGTTCAAAAACGTTTGTATAAAAACATGTGGAACAAGATTTGGGCTGGACTGTAGCTCAAGTGTGCTTGCCTATAACACACAGGTACTGGGTTCAGCCCCACCCCACCCTCAAACCACATCAACAGGGTGTGGTAGCACACAACTGTAATCCCAGCACTCAGGAGACAGATGCAAGATTGGAAATCAAGGTCACCCTCAATATATATTGTAACTTTGAATCCACCCTCAAACCTGCCTCAAAAAGAAGGAAAGAGAAAGGAAAAAAAAAATTAAAGATTGAAACGGAGGGAGAGAAACAAAGAAGATGCCTATGTTTAACATGCCTCTTGCCTACCTTCACTCAGTTGTGTAATAGCTGACCCTAACCTTTGTACTTTCTAGATCAGTCTTTGAAATCAATGCCAACTCTAAATATACAAAATTACATTTTGTGGTTGAAACTTGGAGAAGTTTTTGTTGGTTAACAGTTTTCACCAAATGAGTATCAAGGGCAGAGCAGGGCAGGGCAGGGCATGCCGTATTTGCATTACATTTCATTAACTCATATTTCATTACTTCTGTAACATTAACAATAAATGGAGAGCATTTACTTGTGACAGCATGGAAAGAATATCTTTTTTTAAAATGAGAATGTTAAAAATGTATTAAAAGCATTATAAACTATGTCATGACAAATATATAATGAATGGGTATATTACATATATAATAAATCCTGTTGGAAGTTATGATTATTTGGACAAAGTGAACAAACACAAGGTAATTATCCTGCTAATTTTTTAAAATTAGGAAATAACTTTTTATGCAGAATACACTTCAACTATGACACTCAAGGATCACACAAATTATGGTAAATTTGAGAGACGAATGTCTGCCTTAGTTAACAGGGATGTTTGACCAATGTCACAATATTTTTTTTTTTTTTTTTTTTTTTTTTTTTTTGAGACAAGTTCTCTCTATTATGTAGCTCAGGCTATCTTGCTACTCACTCTGTAGATGAGGCTGGCCTCATACTCACTGAGATCCACCTGACTCTGCCTCTCAGTGCTGCAATTAAAGGTGCAAAGAACCATGCCCTGCTTGAAAACTTTAAATATCCCTTCTAGCCATGTCATGTATGAGCCAAGAAACAAACATAGGTCTTTATTCTTATTACTTTAATAAGCTTCATACTTGTCCACTTTCCGATTCTGTGCTTGTGACTTCAACATTTTCACAATGATTTTCTCCTCAGTAAGAAAAACATGCTGGACCTTGTCACTGATGTGTTCAGCACACACACACACACACACACACACACACACAAGCACACATTCATGCACGCGCGCGTGGACACACACGTGCAGAAGGAGGAAGCCCCTTTGTAGGACCTGTTGATTGCCTCTTTGTTTTAGACAATCTCACAAGGACATTAGGTCTCCCAGCACGAATCCCTTGAAGTCTCCCTGGCTGTGTACCACACACTGATTGGTGATTCCCCAGCCTTTCTGGTATGAAGGTAAGCAGTCCTATTAGCAGGGTTTTGAGACAGACTGGTTTTGTTAGAGGCTGTAGAAGGGAAGCCTAGGATGGTATGCAAACACTGCACCATCCTGGGTGCCTCTAAGTCTGGTCCCAGAAGATTATAAATGCACTCTTAAGATATCCCTGGAGTGCTCCCATGTTAAATCAGTTTCATGTTTTGTTGCTGAACAAGGACCTTCTCTTAGTGTCAATCTCTGCTAAGAACATTTCATTATGTTGTCTAGACAAAATCTAAATGTGTGAGACAGGCTTGTCAACTTAGCAAATTTGTCTCTTCTTTGGGTACATGGAGGGGGGTAAATTACCATCACATTTTATTTTCCGTCATTTGTAGCAGGCTTTTTTGGACTGCCTGCCCCCACATCATGACACAGAGACTTACTATTATTATGAAAGCTCAGTCTTAGTTTAGACTTATTTATAACTAGCTACATAACTTAAATTGACCCATTTCTATAAATCTATGTGCTGTCATGTGACTTGTGGCTTTTAACTCTCCTTCTGCCTGTCCTGCTTCCTCTGCATCTGGTGGACAACCACACCTTGCTTCTTCCTTGAGACCTCTCTCCCCAGAAGTCCAGTCTACCTCTTTTCCTGCTGAGCTATTTGCCATTCAGCTCTTTATTAAACCAATCACTGTGACACATCTTCATACAATGTAAAGGAATATTCCACAGTAATTATTTTTAATACACATGTGCTCCCCAAGTGATGAGGGTTCAACCTATTTTCTGTGATAAGAGTAAGAAAGCACTCATTAGGATAGGCATTGGTGGCACACACCTTTAATCCCAGCACTTGGGAGGCAGAGGCAGGCTGACCTCTGTAAGTTTGAGGCCAGCCTGGTCTACAGAGAGAGTGTCAGCATAGGCTCTAAAAGCTACAGAGAAACCCTGTCTCTGAAAACAAAAACAAACAAAAAAGAAAGAGAGAAAGAAAGAAAAGAAAGCACCCATACAATGTCTTGTTTCTCAATCCATTACAGAGTTCAACAAATCCTATGAGATATATAGTCTCATTTTATAGTCAAGTCTCAATTTATAGTCAAGATCATCATAAAACAGGCCTTATGTTAAATTTCTATCCAACTGTAGGTGGTGGTCTTAGCACGGTTAGGGTGGGCAAGGCTAAGGTATGCTGTTATATAGGCTAGGTCTACTAAATGTAGTTTTGACTTAAGATATTTTCATCATACAATCAGGACACCTAGAACCGAATGGCATCAATAATATATCTCATGTTCTCATTTTCCCAGATGGAAGTCTCTGGATGAGGCTGGCTAGAGACAATTTTTACCAATTTGTCCCATTGATTTTTGTTTTCCTGCAAGTTTATCTGCAATTTTAACCTGCTGTCCCTTGCTAAGCTTTTTGTTTTTGTTTTGTCATTTTCCTCCCCCCATATCATGACAGTTCTTTCACAAGTTTAAAGTCCACTTGATGGTGAATGCTGGTGATTGAAATCTAAAAGACAGACTCTGCTCCTGACTCACCAGGGCACACTTGTGCTCCAGATGACGGCTTCCTGGTGGGCATTGAGGACCCACAATGGAGTGATCAAGACCTAGTGGCCAACCCTCCAGTTTTCTCCCTGTAGACTTGTTCTTACACCAAAGCAGATCATCATAGCAAACCACTTTTAGGAATAAATTATCCACTTAACGAAAAGCAGACAGACCAAGCAATAAACTCAGTTTGACCGAGAGCTATAAAGATGTCAACGATTAAAAAAAGAAACATTTCTATTTGATGGTGGTGACACTCATGTCATTCCCCAGTAGCCAGAGACTGATTTGTAACATTGATTGGCTGTGCTTAGCAATGTGACAATGGTTCCTGGTTCTGGTTCCTGAGAGTTATCTTTCTGGCATGGAGTAAGTGATTGTGCCAAATTCTAAATTGTGGCCAAGAGCTGAGTTTGCTAAATCACCAACTTTTTCTTGTCAGAGCCAAAGGGAAATTGTACTCAAGAAGCCAGGGACTGGAGTGTAGTTTATTGGTAGAACACTTGTCTGGTGTGTGTGTGTGTGTGTGTGTGTGTGTGTGTGTGTGTGTGTGTGTGTGTGTGTGTGTATGGTGTTGGGGACATCTCTGGGACCACCACAGCCATCAGGGTAACGATCTAAAGGAGGGAGGAAGGTAGTTCAGATCAACACAACTCAGTAGCTGGTGTTGATTCAAACATTGGGAGCCTTGCCCCCAGGAGTTGATTTTAGGCATATTTAAGCATAGCACAACTCAGTAGAAACTTTCTTGGTGATCACTAATTCAACCCTGTGTGCATAATAAAGCACACATAAATCTCCTTCAGTAACAAAGCTAAAGAAAGATCAAAGGCAACTGCATCAGAATTCTTGTAAAGTACACATGACACCTTCCATAAAGATGGGTCTGAGGGAGGATCTGGTGTGGTCTTGGCCACAGTACAGAGGTCACCAGGCTATTAACCATGCCCGTTTTCAGCCTTCTGGGTGGATGACAGGTTCTGCATCCCTCCCTTTGAAGGAACAACCCCACATTTAACATTCTGGGTTCCCTCCTGCTTTAACTGTGAGCACAAGGACCTACACGTCTCTGATACTTGTCTAGTAGCATTTACAAAGTTCTGGACTCAACTCCCAACACAACTGAAGAAGATAAAGCATGCTGGCTCTGTCTTTTGATTTTCAGAAATAGAATTTTATTGACAGCCAAACAGGATGTGTCATAGAAAAATCAACTCTGTCAAACCAGCCCATGTCATTCATTTAATGTTCACACAAAAATAAACTCCCACGTGATTTTGATGATTAAAATGACATTTTTTTTTCACATCAAATATTAACTTCTGATGAAATTTCCCTTTTAACATCCATGGTCCAGGCTTGTAGATATATTGAGTAAAAGCACCCCACCCACCACTCCACACACATAACCTATGTTTAAATGGTGATTTGCAGACGAAGCATTTTCCTGAGAACCTGCAAAGATGCAAGGGTAACTTTCACACAGGGTTCAGCCAACCTGCTAGAGAGCAAAAGGTTCCAAAAAGAAAGAACCGCACTTTCCATGTAACATATTGTCTGGAGAAGTACAACTCATGCCATTGCTTTGGCTGCCTCTGAGCTCCGGAATGCCCCAAGGGTTATTCATCTTTAGAATTAATTCAGTCCTTGGTGCTATTCCCTGGGAAAACAGGGTAGGAAGTTGTCTTTCATCTCTGAGGCCACAAATAATTGGTAAAAAGAACCCGCTGTTGAGTGCTGATGGTTGAGAAGGAACCCATGAACCAAGCGGGTCAACTACAGATAGATTATGGGCAGTTTTACAGGTCCATCATTGTGATGGACCACCAAGATCATACCAGCTGGTTTGTATGGTGACCCTTGCACAGGAAACATTTTCCACTGAGTTATCTCAGCTCCTAGACTTTAGGATGGACATCTAGTACTAAAACACAATCTTTCTTGGATTTCTAGTTCCATATACATGAGTTTTCTTTGGGTCATGGCTTCCCAGATAACTTCCACATCATTCACTCCTGTTCCCTAGCAGAGAACTTAAATCACTGGGGGTAGGGACAGGAGAAGAAGCAGAGTGAAAGAATGCGTGGAGGACTACCCAGAAGTGACTCAAAATTCTCTCAGGAAGCACTAAGCTATGTGGGGTGTCATTTCGTTTCCTGTGTAGTGTGTGGATGGCTCCCAGCATGTTCTTAAAGAACGGAAGAATATGCCATGCTCAAGTTAGTGGAGAGCCTCCCACTGCAAGCATTTCAAAGGAACAGGAGCATTACAAGGTTTCTGTTTCAGTAGAAGTAGATTATCTTAAAGTACACTTGAAAGTCTAAATGTGTGCACATTCAGAGGTTTAGAGATCACTGCAGACCACAGAAATGGTTTAGGAAGCAGATGGCTGGGGCCCCTTCGTCTCGCTTAATCCACGTCTGGTTTTGCACTCCTCACAGGTAAGCAGGCAGTGCCTAGAAGAGAAGCAGAAACAGATGGTGACTCATACTTTGACAATGGGAGATCTTCATGTATGTCTGTGCCACATGTGTATGTTTGCATGGGCACGTGCACATGTGCATGAGGTTGTACATGCTGTGTGGGTACATGTGGAGGCCAGAGGTCAACATGAGGTTGTACATGCTATGTCGGTACATGTGGATACATGTGGAGGTCAACAATGGCTGTCATATTTTTTTGGGAAAGGATCTCTCAGTAAACTCATTGATTAGGCTAGGCTGGGCGCTCAGCTTGTATGTGGATGCTAGGATCCAAACTCAGGTCCTCATGCCGGCACAAAGAGAAACTTTATTGACTGAGCCATCCCGCAGTTCTCCAAGCACAGCTAAAGAATGCCAATCTGAAAGGGGCCCCAGAGTCCATCTAACCTGGACCACCTCCTTCAATGTATATGAAGTATAGAACAATGTCGAGAGACTGACTAGAAAATGCAGATTTCATCGTTTTCCCACAACCCAATGTTGGATTAATAGCAAGAAAAAGTCCCAGAATGGAAGTGGGAGAGGAAAGAGTCCATACAATGCTTCCTTTGCTGACAGTGCCTTTCCCTATTTTCCCTGTACACATCTGAATCCCAGGCCAACTACTCTGTAAGGTGACCCCAAAACATAACTTTGCAAGGATGGAACAACCCTGGAGTTGTCTATAAACATAGTTAATGCCTCTCTGCCAGTCTTGCAACCCTGAAGGGAAGTATTTGGAAACAAGTGAGAGACTGAAGTCTCATCTTCCTATAGCCACCAATGTCTTCTCAGAGAGTCTCTGCACTGCATGTCACTTATAGGGTTGGCTAAAGTCCAGCCACTTCTACCAGACCAGGGACCATAGCATTCTAACGCCATATTGCCACCCAGCCCAATACTGCTTTTGCTGCTGCTCCTCAAGTAGAAAACATTGCGACAGGCTCCGTAGAGGATTTTCCTCAAATACACAGGGCCCCGTGTTCAATCCCCAGCACCACATACTACAGGCTGTTACAGTGCTGGTGTTGTACAGGCAAACACAAAAGGTGTGCACCTGTAATGCCAGCATTCAGGAGAGGGAGGAGGATACAAAGTTCAAGATCATTCTTGGACTGCGAGGCAAGTTTGAAGTTAGCCTGGGCTACATGAGAGTCTCTCTAAAAGAAAACAAGAAGAGAAACTGACTGTGACAAGTGAGGGCTCTTTAGAGAAATGTGTCCCTAACTGTGACACAACAGTAGAGATAGTACTCGTTTATCGTGAGTAAGCATTTTTCTTCCTCATAATACCCTGGGGGAAGTCTGGCCATCATTTTGGACACATGAGAAAGCTGAAGATTTAAGTTTAAGAAAACTGTGGCAGAACTGGCTTTCAGCCCAAGTCCTCTAGGAGCACAGGCCACACTACAACTCTAGCCTATTGCTTATGTCCCATGGAGAATAAGTGCAGCTATCAGGACACACTGTGTGCACATGCATGCACGTGCATGTATGATATTAAAGGCTCTGAGAAGTTATGAAGTAAGAAAGAAGGTTTCAATAGCAGGCAACTGTGCAATGACAGAAGACACAATCTGCTCACAAAGGAATTACATAGAGATTGATTCAAGGCTTAGACTGTACTAGATGCTCATTAAATACACATTGAGTAAATGAAATTGATGATTAAGTTAATTATTGAAGTTGAGTAATAATAAATCAAAGCTTGAGGTTAAAGAGTTTTTCTTAAATAAAATTGTTAATGTGCTTAATATTACAGAGAGTAATCGTTCATTTCACTTTTTTTTTTTTTTTTTTTTTTTTTTGAGATAGGCTGTCCTGGAATTCATTATGTAGACCAGGCTGACCTCATACTCACAGAGATCCGCCTGCCTCTGCCTCCCAAGGGCTGGGATTAATGACATCGCCACTACACCGGCTGTTCTTGATTACAGTCTCACCATCAGACTACAAACCTGTTGTGCTCGGGTCCAAAACCAGCACCACGGAGCTGATCCTCGAAGGAATGGAATTTACTTTGGCACACTCTGATGTAGGAAGCCTTCCCAAGGCCAAATCCCAAAAGGCCAGCCACTGGAAAAGTGGGTTAGGAAACAGACAGTTAACGGGAAAGCGCAGAATCCTATTAACCATTGCCTACACTTTCCTAACACCGGTCATTTTTACATTAAAACAAGCCTCTACCGGGGGTGGGTCTGAACCCTGACTTTCTGATCAGTGCTTGAGCTGGCATGAGGAGGACCAGGGCACAGCACACACTGGGGCTGTCCAGAGTGGGCATCCAGGGGGTGAACCAGCTGTCAAACCAACAGCTGAGGTTACCAGGGGAGGGAGGGTGGGTCAGAGTCAGGTAGCTTCTGTGTCATGGGGGTGGAAAAGCCTTTTGGCCTGGTTGGGTTTTCCCCCCCTTGCCTCTTTAAAATAAGTCATGGAGAAGGGGACCTTGTGTGGGAGAAATCTTCAATCTGTTTCTTTGGCTGGAACCAAGACTCATTTGTAAACTGGCTAATTCTAACACAAAGCATCTATGTGTACCAAGGAGAAGAAACCCAGACTGCAGTTAACTTCCTATTAAAATATCTCTGGTTTAAAAAAGTGTTACTTCCCTTTTAATGTGCAGTCCAGATAACACTTTTAAAACACTGGTCAAGTCAAGAGAACAAACATAGCCCCCTAATGAACCTACCATTCAAAGGCTTTGCTGTTGGCAGTCTTATTGCCATTGGCTCCACACTCACAGGTTCTATAGCCGTGTGTTTAACCAACAACAGACTGAAGAAAATATTCGAGAAAAAAAAATCTGCATCTATTTTGAACATGTACAGCCTTTTATGCATCATTCCCCAAGTATGGCATACCACAACCATGCATATAGTATTTGCATTGTATCTTGTGTTATTGGTACCTGGAGACTGTCTTTAAAGTAAACAGAGGGGTATGCACCATCAGATATAAACACCCATCACTTATAAGAAGGACTTAGGCCCCTGTAGATACGGGTACCTGTGGGTCCCAGAGCCATTCTCTCATGGATACTGAGAGAAAACTGTGTATATCTTGCTAGTCTTTGCTCTAAGTCCCTGCTGTTAACCTGCAGATCAGAGAGTGTTGGGATGAACCAGGAAACTGCAGGCTAGTGATGGAAACCGAGAGTTCTCTGCGGGGTTAGGCCCGGCAACAGGCTGACATTCATAGCCTCAGTTCTTACAAACTTCACCAAAATCAATCTGCTTTTTCAATTGTTTTAATGCTGGGGACTGAACTCCGGTCTTGGTGCTTCAAACTACCTAGCTGCCTCCCCTGGCCAAGTCTGCTTTTAGGACTTACGTGCAACTTTAGGTAATGATCCAAATCTTGGATTAGCAGCTAAATAACCTGAAGAGTAATATAGAAATGCATTATTTTGTTTAATAAGTTGTTTAAATTTGTAGAGAAAATATCCAAGCTTAAGATATAAATTTCTAAAATGTGCATGTTATTAATCTGAAGAAATGGTTTTAGAAGAGTTACGATTCAACATGAGGTTGAAGTTAACCCCCAGAAGCTGTCTCAGGCAAATACTGGCTTTAACATGTGGAAAACAGACAGGCAGTGGTGGTGCATGCCTTTAATTCCAGCACTTGGAAGGCAGAGGCAGATTATTTTCAGTGAGTTTGAGGCCAGCCTGATCTACAAAGCAAGTTCCAGGACAGCCAGTACTCCAGTACTGTTACACAGAGAAACCCTGTCTCAAAAAACAAACAGACCAAAAAAAAAAAAAAAAAAAAAAAAAAAAAAGGAAGACAATACAAAAGCCACTATTAAAGGCCAATTTGAATTGATTCAAAGAGACTAGACACCATACTCTACTTTTAAGAGTAACTCAACAGAGAAAGTTCAACTCAGAGGTTCACAACATACACATCACAATTTAATTCTTATTTATTTATTATTAATTAATTAAGACAGGTGTCTCTATGTACCCCAGCGGTCTGTGAACTTGCTATGTAGACTAGGCTGGCCTTGAACTCATAGATCTACATACCTCTGCTTCCCAGTGCTGGAACTGAAGGCAGGTGTCACCATGCCTAGCCCAATGCTATTTTTTAAATGAAAACATTGTAGCTTGTGCTAGGCACTAGGCAAATTAGCAGGCTTCTAAATAGTTCCACACCATTATCTTTGGTAACTTTGGATATGTTATAGTACAGAAGGGAGTTAAGGTATAGAACAGAAGTAAGTTGCTTATTCAGATATCTTTAAAGTAGGGAGAAGGTCCTGAATGGGCCAGGTGGATGTAACACAATCACGGTGATAGCTGGTTAGCACTGAAGAGATCAGAAGTGGAAAAGCTTGACTCAACATAGCTGGCTTTGGAGACAGAGAGACAGGCCACCAGCCAAGGAGTGTAGGAAGCTTCTCAAAGCTGGAGAGGGGAAAAAGTTGAACTTCCAGGAGAAACACAACTGTTTAACCTAGGGAGCTCCAACCTTATTTTTTTTAATGGATATTCATTTATTTATGTATGTGAGTGCTCCATCTACATATACAGAAGAAGGGATCAGATCCCAATATAGATAGTTGTGAAACACCATCTGGTTACTGAGAACTGAACTCAGGACCTCTGGAAGAGCAGCCAGGGCTCTTAACCACTGAGCCATCTCTCCAGCCCCAAGTGAGACCCATTCTGACCTTGGCCTCTGCATAATAAATATATGCTATCTTAAGCCATTTTGCTCACAGTGATTTATTTTAGCAGCTGAGGGAAATTAACATACAACCCCGAACAGCACAGATGCAAGAGGTTGGGTAGATTTTGGGGTGGGTGGATATTTATAAGACTTCATTCCATAAATTCTGGTATATTTTGGCATCAAAAAAAAAAAACTTTTAAAAAATCTTGCAATAATTGGTGAATTCATTTCTACAAAAAAGACTATCTTCAAGTTATAAAATTGAAATCATTCTTAACACAAGACCTTTATGGGTAAGGATAACAGCATCCAAAGTGGAATTTTCCTAGATATGTGACATATTGACCTTCAAGAGAAAAAGAAACAGGATATTTCCCTCTTGTGTTTGTAGACATTGACTTTTTAAAAACTTGTTTCAATGACATTTATCTTTACTAAAGTGTTTTAGTGTTTTTTGTTGTTGGTTTTTTTTCTTCATTTTAAAAATCATGGCAATTAGTAGCATTTGATAAGATGGGCTTATAGAAGGTCAGGTCCCCTGAGAGACACAGGGATGTCTCTAAGAGATAGGCACTTTGGGAGTCCTGATATCTGCCATAAGAGATGGCCACCAGCTCAGTGGCTTAAGATAATGGGGATTTATTATCTTACAGGTCTTGAGGTCAAAGGTCCAAACTCAGTATAGTGACAAGCCAAGGTGGTAACTGCAGTCCTTAAACCAGTGCCTTGTTTTGTGAAGATGCTAGCCCCTACGCACTCCGCAGCTTAATGTTGTGGGTTGAGTGTGAGATGACCCCCACAGGCTCATGTGTTTGAATACATGGCCCCCAGCTAGGGTGCTGTTTGGGTTATAGAAACTTTAGGAGTGGAGCCTCATTGAAGGAAATGGTCTCTGGGGATGAGTGTTGACTGAATTTCCTTTCCACTTTCTGCTTCCTGATTATAGTCACAATGTGACCAGGTGACTCATTGTGCTGCCACCATCCTTTTCCCACCATGGTATACTACATCCTTTCTTAAACAGTGAGCCAAAATAAGCCCCTCCTTCCTGAAGCTGCATTTGTTGTCATGGCAACAGGAACAGTAGCCACTATATTTATGTCCCTTTTCTGGGTCATGATGAGTCCAAACCTTCGGTCTTTCTAGTTATGTCTCCAGGTCCCCTTCTCTATTCACAGTCCCTCTTTAGATGAAAAAAAAAAATCAAATGATAATAATCTGTTTTAAAGTCAACTAACAACCTTCATGTCACCTGTAACTCAAATTTCCCTTTATTAAGTAATCAAAAACATTCAGTATTTCCAAAGATGACTTCTTTTGTAGAGACAGAAACTTTGGCTTGTTGTGGAATAATATTTCTGTACTCTGTGAAAGTGTGTCTCTGCCAAAGTGCCTTCTAATTTAATAACAAGCTAAATGCCCAAGGAGTGCAGGGAAGGCCACGAAAAACTGGGCTCTCTGAGGTTAAAACATTAGTAAATATTGACTCTTACCTTGGTGGACAAGTCCCTGGGTGACAAGCATGCTTATAAGAGAAAAAGGCAGAGCTGTAAAACAAACAAACAAATGCCCCTCAATATTAGTATTTTAAGACATGGTCCCTGGGGGCAGGTGAGATTGCTCAATGGGTACAAACACAACTCCGAGCCCGGTGACTGAGCATAATCCTCGGACCCACATGGTGGGAGGAAAGAATCAACTTCTGTAGGCTGTCCTACACTCTAGGCGTGCATCACCACCATCCATAAATATTTTGATATTTTCAATCCTACATACATTTTGAAAAGCAATATACCATGAACTTCTGTAGAGCCTTCCTTTAGATGCATTAATTACAGATTTATCTCTGGATACATCTCTATATTTTGCTTTGTATCTCTGTCATTATTCATTTATTTTCTCAGACATTTGAGATTTGTAAACACCATCACTCTTTATAACTGAATATTTTAACAGGTAGCTTCTAATATCAAGTCACTGTCTCCTGAACAGCCTCCATACCACTAGCATAGTTAAGAAATTTCTGTGTGAATACTCAGACTCAAGAGGAATGATATTAAGTAATCCACAATCTATATTCTAATCTCTCCAGCTAGTCCAAGAATGTTTTTCATAGCTGCAGGTTTTTTTCCCACTGTGGAAGATCAAAGGTTATGCGCTGTGTTGAATGTCCAATCTGTTTCAATCTAGGACAGTTTCCTGTTGTTTCTGTTTTGATTTTTGTGTTTCACAACATTTTGTCCCGCTGTTGGATATCTGCCTGAAGAGGCACATTGAAGGTTATAAACAGGCTCCATTCCTGCTAAGCACATGCAGTGTGTAGTTCAGGTTTTTAGTGTAGTCAGCTGAGCCTGGCATAAAGGGTCTCTAGTTCTCCCACAATGTGTCAGATGACCTCTCCCAAAAGCAAAGAGCCTCCTTGGCAACCAAGGAGAGTCCAATAGGAGCCGGTTTTCCCATCACTACTGAGAACCGGATGGCAGGCTAATGGGTCCCGCTAACATGTGAATCTACCAGGCCAATTAAACTACTGGCCCAGAGGTTATCAGAAAAGACATGTGACTCTAGAAGAACAATCAATAATCACAGTGATGCATGATGAATATCAAATTCAAAGTGGTCGATATGGACTATGAATGGTTTATGATATCAGGAATACTGCAAAGTCTTGGTAAGCCTCTGTCATTGATGTACACAGTACTGGGCTGCATGAATAGGTTCCATTATACCGCTCTCAAATGTCAAATCATGAATTTATTAAACCAAAAGGGATGTTAACACAGCCTGAATTCCCAGCCTTGTCTTATGTAAGGCAATCCCTGGATGAGGAAACAACTCAGTAGAAAAGAATAACGTAGAGAGACCCACTGATGGATACTGCCAGCTCCCTCAGAAATCAACAAGCATTTCTTAGGGATTCCCTGTGTGTGAGGCTGTGGGCTGCAGCCTAGATGAACCTGACACCACTTCTGAGCTGAGACTCTGGTGGATTTTATGAAGGTCTGCTTTGTGTCAGTAAAGTATGTTATATAATATTTTTGGCCTGCAAGCTTGCTCCTATGAAAGGAAGAGTCACGTATGCATCTGTTTTCACTGGGTGAGGTAAAGTGTGTGATAACGGCATATTATCTCTGCCTGAAGAGAATTCAAACTTCAGACTTCCATAAGTAACCAAGTTCTTTAGGGACTTATGCAAAATTCCTGCTCAAAATTAATTGGTCATCATGATCCTATTCTGGATATGGAAGTGTTCTATTGCTGCAACATTAATTATTAAATCGTCAATTGTTGATTTTTTTTATTTAGTAAGTTTATTAAATTGAACAACTTATAGTTAAATGGTTGATTATTAAACTATTTATTAAGCCCCAGAGGGTGTGAGTACCTCTCTTCCAGAAACTTTCTTCTTGACACTCTCGGATAATCTTGGCAATCTCTCCTCTGTGGATGTGCAGTTTTGACTTTGGACAAAACAACAGGCTCTGTAGGGAAAGACACTGTGGGTTAACTGAGCTCCAGCCCCTGGGAGGCCAAGGCCAGAGGAACCTGAGTACAAGGCCTAGATAGTGAGATCCTATCTCAAAGTAAAACCAATAAACAAAAGCCAGAAAACACAGAACTGAGGTCACAAACATCTCCACGGTGTTTCCTCTGGGGTAATGGGATGTCTCCTGCTCCTGGCTGGTTGCCTGCCTGCCTGCATAGGCCAATGGCCACTAGCCACTGCTTTCCAGCTGGCCCTGCTGCACAGACTTGGACAAGGTGGAATTCCTACTTGAGAGACAGAGCAGCTCAGTGACCAGGGTGCCCTGTTCCACGCTGTCCAGGGCTCACTGTAATCACAATGGTGGCTTGTTCCTTTGCCTATATAAGCTCCAGCTCAATGTTGTATCTGCAGTGAAGACAGATTTGTTGATTTTGCCGCTTTTTTTTTTTTTTTTAAAGATCCTTTGCTTGTGGCTATCAGTGTGGATGCTGGTCACCATTTCTTGAGTACTTCTCATGGACCAGGCATCATCTTCACACCTGGCAAACATACACAGTGACACGCTGAGAGGGAGGAAGGAAGGACCCTGTGGCAACTATGCTTCTGTGACAGTGCAAGCTAGAAACCCCGCTCTTTCGTTTCTCTGCGCCTCCTCGCAGTGGAGGAATACAGAGGTCAGTGTGACTCACAGTGCATACCAGTGGGTCAGGCAACTGTTGGTTTTGTCTATACTTTGGTCCTCAGAGCAAGCACTCCTCCCCATTTCCAGGATAAATACAGATGGTCTCTGACTTCGTGGTTCATATTTGTGTATATGTGTGTAAGCATACATGCAGATGTGTGGAGGCCAGAGTTTGACAGTGTTTTACTTTTTTGTTTCTCTGTGTGTGTGTGTGTCTCTCTCTCTCTCTGTGTGTGTGTTTGTGTGTGTGTGCAAGTGTTCTCTTGTTTTTAAAGACTGCATCTCTCATTTGAGCTCACTGATTCAGTCAGTCTGATTGGCAAGCCAGTCTCAGGGAGCCTCTACCTCAGTCTCCCTAGTACTAGCATTACAGGTGTGCTGTATTTGGATTTTTATGAAGGTGCTGGCGATCTGAACTTGTGCTGCAGGCATTTTACCAACTCCCTGAGCATGTGGCCATTTCCCCAACCCAGTGGTTCAGATTGTTATTTTACTTTAGCATATTGTGTGAGACAGTTCAATGTCAACTTGACACAAGCTAGTCATCCGAGAGGAAGGAACCTCAATTAAGAAAATGCCTCCATAAGATGTGGACCACATTAATTGTGAGTAGGCAACCCTGGGCTGGTGGGCCTTGATTCTATAAGAAAACAGGCTGAACAAGCCATGCTGAGTAAGTCAGTAAGCAGCACCCCTCCATTGCCTCTGCATCAGCTTCTGCCTCCAGGTCTCTGCCCTGTTTGAGTTCCTGTCCTGACTTCCTTCAGTGATGTGGAAGTGTAAGCCAAATAAACCCTTTCCTCCCTGACTTGCTTTTAGTACGAAACCTAATGAAGACACATGTTCTGAAAGTGATACACATTCAGTAGGAACTACATTTTGAAGTTTAAACTTGTCCTAAGCTAACAACATACAGTGCAGTATTTTCTCGTGATGACAGACAGCAGCACAGAGGCACAGCTTCAAGCCAGCAGTGAGATCACAAGATCACATCCAAAATACTCCGCAGTGGACCGTAGTGCTAGGATTCCCAGTAGCCTTTTAAAATAACGACAGTTTCAGTTTTCAGTGGCTTTATTGAGACAGCATTCCATTGTAAATCAAGCCTTATCTGTATTTGTTTCTTGTCCTCTCTGGAGCCATGGCAGGACTAAAGAAAACCTTCCAGCATGCACAGGGTAATACACACATGCATTCAGATATGACCAATAACCTCTGTAAGTCCAGCACTCAAGATCAGCAAGTGGGGTCCAAGTGGGGCTTGGGAGATCTTTTTCAGTAGTGCCATGAATGTTTTACAGTTCTCCATTTCACAGGGGCAGCTAAGGTGTCCGAATGCCTCTCCTTGTGACCTGTTGTCATGAGTCTATTTGTTGCTTAAATGCTCTCTTCTCCCGGAAACCAAGTCTAGTTTGAAAAGTTGACTGCAGAGAACAGGGACCCCCGTAGCCATCAGACACTTGCTCTCCTTTCCATCCATATGCTCCTAATCACAATACCCATTCTTAACAAGCTAGCATGTGGGCTCGCAATCTGATGGCCAATTAGTCATTATGGATCCCGCTATGCTGAAAGCAGCATATGTTCAGAATAATCACCCTGGTAAACAAAAGCGAGAAGATAACGCACTGTATCATTCTGTTAGGGACAAACCAGAGCTTCACTCTGCCTTGGTACACCTGTTCAGTCACTGGCTATGTCGAGAGAATGAAGCTAGATTCTGAACAGGAAAGAGTAAAGGAAGGGGTTTGCAAACGAAATCTTAACGGGCTTTTTAAGAAAGCCTGAACATTTTCCTCCTTGCTCCATCTTCCCCACATCCATCTGACAAAGGCCAGGCTGAGAAAGTGTCCAAAGCTCAGGAGCTGTCTCAGTTGCTAAAGTTCCTGCCACACGAGCACAGGGAACAGAGTTTGGATCTCCAGGACCACTTGAAAAGCTGGGTGTGGCAGCATGTGCCTGTAACTTCAGTACCAAAGAAACTGAGACAGAGGTGTACCTGTAACTTATTGGCTAGCTACTCTGGCTGGATCAGTGAGCTCCAGGTTTACTGAGAGATCCTGTCTCAAAAAATGAAGTGAGGGCTAATGAGATGGCTCAGCACATAAAGCACTGGCTTCCACGCTTGATGACCTGGGTTCAATCCATTGAACCACGTGGTAAAAGGAGAGAAATGACTCACGACTCCTACAAGTTGTCCTCTGATCTCCACACACTTGCCATGGCATGTGTGTGGGTGTGGTATATATGCTATTAAATAAATATACATAAATTTTAAGTGTGTAGAGTAACTAAGGAAGATGCTGAACATCAATCCCTGGTCTCCTTGTACATAAACACACACACACACACACACACACACACACACACACACACACAGAGTCAGAGGATTGACAGGATATAGTGATGGTCTTGTGTGATAGCTTTCCTCAGAATCTCAAGCTAACACATACCTGCTTGCTCAATGGTGGCAAGTGGGGACTTTTCTCTTGGTTTCCATGAGTGGACACGGAGGCCATGATGTCCTTTCTTCGATGCCTGCTGAATGCTCTGAATACTCCTTGGCCTGATGTCTAAGGAAAGTAGAAGAGACTCACTGTACCAAGTCTGAATACTTATATGCCAGGTTTCAAATCACCCCCTCATATCCAAGGCACTAACTTAGAAGACTTACTCTTCATTTTGTTATTAGTTTTAACCTGTTGCCATCTATAAACTCATTTTCTTACATTTATTTATTTTGGGGGGTGGGATGGGGGTGTGTTGTGCTGTGTACACATAAAGGCCAGAGAACGACTTGCAGGTGTCAGTTCTCTCCTGTCACGTGGGTCCCAGGAACCAAAATTAAGTTGTCTGGCTTGGTGGCAAGTGCTTTTATGCACTAAACCATCTCAGGAGCCGTACACTCTCAGTTTCTTTCTTTAGAGAAACACAAGATCAGCCGGGTGTGGTGGTGCGCACCTTTAATCCCATCACTCGGGAGGTAGAGGCAGGTGGATCTCTGTGAATTCGAGGCCAGCCTGGTCTACAAAGCCACACAGAGAAACCTTGTTATATACAAGCAACTATAAGCCACCTAAGATAGGTGCTGGGAATTGAACTTAAGTCCTCTGTAGGAGCAGGATGTGCTTTTGCTTGCCGAGTTAGCTCTTCAGTCCCTGCAATCTCAATTTCTAATGACTCCCCAATACACACCTATACATTCACATCTCCCTAAACACATGCACATATCCTCACACATAGTGACAGGTCTGATTTAAGAGTGGAATGAAATGTCACACTGAGGACATGGTTTACTGCCTATAAATTATGCCTTTAAAACATCTCCAATATTATTAAAAGTTAATAACTATTCAAATGTTTGCTGAGTGTCTATGGCATGCCAAGGGTGAGGCTGCAAAGGCCAAGATAAATTCACTGTATGAGGAGCACAGACTAAAGGGGACATCTAGTAAGTTAGTAATTATTCACTAGGAGAAGGTCCAAGAAGCAAGGCCAGGGTGCTAAGGAAGGAGAAGAATGAAGGGCTATCCAGCCTGTCGGGTAAGAACACTACAAAGAGGATGGGGGAGTGTCCAGGAGCAGGGCAGCAAGTTTAGACAGTGATTAAAACTGTCTGGATAGTCCAGCAGTGATGGTGTAATGGTGTATGCTTTTAATCCCAGCACTTGGGAGGCAGAGGCAGGAGGATCTCATAAGCTTAAAGCCAGCCTGGTCTACAGAGCTAGTTCCAGGACAGGCTCCAAGGCTACACAGAGAAACCCTGTCTCAACAAACAAATAAACAAAACAACTGTCTAGACAAAAAAAAAAAAAACTGAAGACCCAAACTGAGACTTCATTGGGAAGGGCGAAGATAAGAAATTTGGGTTTGGAAATATTGGATTTGGGTGCTAGTGTGTGTGTGTGTGTGTGTGTGTGTAAAGCCTGGGATTAGGTAGTAAAGCCTGAAATATTTGAGGATCTGGGTCTGGAATTTTAGATTAGGTGAAGGTTGGAGAGATGAATTTGAAAACTGCCATCATAGAGATGGTTGTTAAAGCAATGGACCTGGACATACTAATCTACAAAGAGTACTGAAGAAGGTGATCATTGAACCCAAAGGAATAGTGATGAACCAAGAAACAAAAGAAATAGAACATAAGTCAAAGAAGGGACTTCAAGTGAAGGTGTGATGCAGCCACCAGGGCATTACTGAATGAGCTATCGATAGTGGCCACACATCCCAGGCTCCAGGTGGGCGCTGAGCCTCCCCTTTTCCCTTAGTTCTGGGCCCTATTGACTCTCCTACAAAATGGACAGCTCATAAAAAATTGTGTTTCCTCCATTAGTGACTCACTGGCAAGAGATGTGAGCCCAGGGCCCCTCCCTGTACGTTTCACCTTGGGTGCCTAGTGTTGGGGGGAACCTGATGTCCTGCAGTGTTAGTGAAGATGGTTATAGTAACCCTTGAGACAAAGTCTCACTAGTCACCCTAGTTGTCCTCTAACTCCCTAGGCTGGCCTCAAACTCACAGAGATCTGTCTGCTTCTGCCACCTGAGTGCTGTGCTAAAGGTGCCTGGAACAATGCCCTGCCAACACTCCAGTTTTAATTCTGACTTTCTTTGCTGGTCCTGGGCATTGGGGCAAGGAATATAACGTGTCTGGGCCTTAACACCTGTTATTCAGGTACAGCTGTGGCAAGGAGGAGGCGAGGGATGAGGATACAGGACCAGTGCACAGTGGTGGGTGTACAAACAGTGGCCCTGGGAATCTGATTTTCTAGGAAATAAGATCCTAGGAAATCTTTGCCACCTACTACCAAATTAGATTATTTTTGCATCGTCAGACCTAGGGCCATCCCAAGAACCAAGAAGGAAGCAACCATACCCCTCAGCGTTGGTGGAATGGGCCATCCTGAACCCAGTTTCTTCCTTCACACATCTGAGCAAGCCTTCTGGGTGAAGCTACAAACACACACACACACACACACACACACACACACACACACACACACACAGGTCTGGACTAGGGGTGCAATGGCAGCCTGACCCAGCCTGTGTTGGGGGAGGGGAGGATGACCCAGAATTAACTAGCTGGGTTCCAAGAGTAGGCCTATCTGGAGGCTGCCTGCAAAATTCCGAGCCAGAACCCCAGTCCGGGGTATCAGGGATCCGAGAAGCACAGCTGCGAGCGAGGAGGAATGGAGATCTGACGCTGCGATGCGGCGGAGCCTGTGAAGGGTCTGCTCAGCGTCTGCCCAGGTCCCCGGGGCCCAGGAAGGAAAGCCAGCAGGGAAAGACACTGCCTCAGGCCACCTCTCCCTCCCACGGTCACCCCACCTCTGAGGGCTCACCTGCGCGGGTGAGTGATTCCGAGGCGGAGCGGCCCACCTTCTCACACGGGCGGCTGCAGTCTACCCACGTCCACCGCCCCAATCCGAGCCCTAGGTCCCCTCTCCTCTTCCCCTCACCTTTCTTCGCGATCTTCCTTTTCTTCCCTCTTTTCTCCTTCTTGCTGGTGTCGCTCCGCCCCGCACCTCTGCGTGCCACTAGCTCGAGTGCAGCCCGCCCACATTTGCTTCCTCTTTCTCAGTTGGCAATACTGAAAGGGAGAATCCAGCACTTTCTGGAAGACCCCACTTCCCAGTCTTGTCCGACACCGGGTAGGCCCACCTCGTTGTCTTTCATGTGACTCGGTCCTCAGAACAAAAACACCAAAACCCCCCCTTCGTGGGCTGGACTAAGCCTATACATCTCAGCAACCCGTAGGGAATCAATTGCAGCACACCTCGGCTCCTTAGCTTTCCCCCTCCCAACCGCTGGTGGGGAAGGTGGTGTGTGTGTGTGTGTGTGTGTGTGTGTGTGTGTGTGTGTGTGTGTGTGTGTGTGTTTTAGTATGTAGATGTATGTGTGAGCGTGTATGCTTATGTGTGCGTGTGTGTGACTGAGTGTTAAGTGTATATGTGAGTGTGCTAGTACATGTGATGGTATATGAGGACATGAGGATTATGAGTGTGTGTATGTATGTGTGTGGTGGTGTGTCAATGTGTGTATACATGTGTGTGTGAGTGTGTGTGTCTGCAGAGAACTGCAGTTTTGTGGAGAGGATGGAATGTTACAGGACCAGAGTCTAATTACCTTACCTACCTTTACCCCCTGCAACAGCCACTCCTTACTCACCTCTCTGACAAAACTAATATCATGTGTGTGCCTCCTGCCTACAGAGTTAGAAGAGGGCATCAGATCCCCTGGAACTGGAGTTACAGAGGTGTGGGGGTTGCTATATGGGTGCTGAGAACAAGACCTGGTCCGCCTGCAAGAGCAACAACTGCTCTTAACTACTGAGCCATCCCTTCCGCAGACCCAGCAGCAGTATCTGCCTGTTTCCTGGCCTCCCTCCTGGCTAAAGCAGACACTCTTCAGTGGATCTGGACAAAGCAGTCTCCTTTCATAGCACTTGTTACAGTTACTATCTACTGAAAACCACACCTACTTCAAGGGAGAGAGCATCGTCTCCACTTGCTTTTAGTTGACTTTAAAAATTACCATTTTGGGAGGTCACGAAGCTCAGCAATGTGTACTTTGGCCTTCTGGATCTGATACCTGCTCATGTTAATCATTTAGGGGTTGTTTCTCTGAAATTGGCAATACAAGATTGACTACATCTCCATTTCCCCTTCCCCGCCTCCAGTACTGGAGATGGCTCAGTGGTTAAGAGCCCATTGTTCTTTCAGAGGACTAGAGGTAGGGCTCGAAAGAGCATGCAACTCCATGGCAAGGTATATAACTCCTCCCTCTGGTCTCTATGGGCAGATGTGAGCACCCACACATACATACACATAAATAAACTAAATACTTCTTCTTCCTTTCCACCCTCTTACAACCCAGTGGCTTTTCTCTCCCTTCAGGGTTTCATTTTCTCTTGACCCAATTTTACTCTCAAATTAAAGGGGCTATGGGCCTGCTAATTTTATATTCTGTTACCAGAAGTCAAAAATAAACCTCTGTGGTTCTATGGTCTTTGGGGTTGAGCTTTCTAATTGCTCTTGTAATGTAGATAAGTCCCCCCTCTATCCCGCCTTACACCTCACACAAACCCTAAGTGGCACTTACACTCCACCATCTTGGTGCAGTGAGTGTGGGAGTGTGTGTGCCTCCTTTACACTTCCCACCAGAATGTTCCAGTAAGTTGCTATAAAAAGCTAGACATTACCCTATGCAATGCATGTGGCATGAGTTCCTTACATGATTCTTGGTTGACTGCTCTGATGAATCCGTGTGCAAGCATGCTCAGAGTCATGAGACATGGGCCTGAGGATCATGGCTACAAAGCTGATTCTCAGTGGTTAGTTTAGAATGTGCTAAGTCCCTCATGGCAGGCTCCAGTGTGAAGTGTTTCTGTAGTCCCATGTTGTTCCCAGGCAACATCCAGATTTATTATCCAGGCTGGTATGATTCAGCCCTCAGGCCCTCTGAGTGAAGGGCTGAATGGTTAGTGTTAACTCCTTTTTGTTCAGCCTGGATCAACCTTGACCTTCTTCTCTCCTCCACTTTCACCTAAGACTCAGCTCTGAGGTCACCTCTTGCAAAACCTATTTCAAGTGTAATTTAAGGTGTGTGTGTGTGTGTGTGTGTGTGTGGTGACCAATATTCCTTACCACTAGCTTTTCCGGTAGCCTGTCCTAGACTACCTCCATGGTGCCTAGACTTCCTCTGTCATTAGTCCTTTCCTCCTAAGCTCTTCTCCCCAACCTAGGCACTCTGCAATGGAAGCCTGCCTGCCTTCCCGTCCTCCCCACATGTGTCATTTCTAGCAAACATAACACTCATCCCATTTCAAAACCATGAGCCAGGTTCTTGGATTATTCTCTTTTGTGTTGCTATAAAGACAAGAGCCAGGTGTGGTGGTGCACTCAGAAGGCAGAGGTGGGTGTATCCCTCTTAGGCCAGCCTGGTCTACAGAGTGAGTTCCAAGATAGCCAGAGCTGCAGAATAGGGAGATCCTGTCTCAGAGAGACAGACAGAGACACAAAGAGAGAGACATAGACAGACAGACAGACATAGAGAGAGAGAGAAAGAGAGAGAGAGAGAGAGAGAGAGAGAGAGAGAGAGAGAGAGAGAGAGAGAGAGAGACTCAGATCATGGCTTTAGAGGCTGAAAACTTGAGCCAGGGCAGCTTCATTGCTTTAGTCTCTTGTAAGGGGTTAGAGGAGAGTGGGACATCATGATAATGAGACACAAAACCAGAGTTGAGTTCGGGAGTTGGACTTGGGATTTTACAACAACTCACTCATAGAAACTATGAAAACAACCTTAATGCTATTCAAGAGTGTTCCTATCTCCTAGCACTGTCACTCTGAGGAAGGTTTGTGACCTTGTGGATGGGGTGGAGATTTCCCTCAGGTCACATCCTGAGTCATGGAGGTATCTACTGGTCCCTTGTTATCTTTTAACTGAATCCTACTGCAGTCCTGTGAACAGGAACAATAACCCAGTTACATGGCCACAAAGTGGCAGAACTACAAGCCCAGAGTCCCTTGCTTCTGAACACCACCACCTGCTCACCCTCTGATGTCTTCACAGGCAGAATCAGCAATGTCACTCATTCCCTCTTGGTGAGCTCCTTGGGGGCTGCTCCAGCCATCGAGTGGCATAAGTATGAACTCATGAATGACACAGGAGACATTGAACTTAATGAGACACATGAGAGACAGATACTAACATGAGAGACTGTTACTAACAGAAATGTTTTTTCTTCTTTTCTTTTTTCCATTCTTGCTTTGATTTTCTTCCCTGTCCCTCCTTCCTTCCCTCCTTCCCTCCCTCCCTCCCTTCTTCTCCTCCTCTTCTTCTGTTTTATTTTTTGAGACAGGGTTTCTCTGTGTAGCCCTAGCTACCCTGGAACTAGCTCTGTAGACCAGGCTAGCATCAAACTCATAGAGATCCGTCTGCCTTTGCCTCTTGAGTGCTGGTATTAGAAGTGTGCTTCACCACCTCCTGGCATCTTCTTAGGTTTTCTTGAGACAAGATCTCATGTATCCAGCCAAAGCTGGCCTCTAATTTACTGTGTAGCCAAAGATGGCTTTGAACTCCTGATTCTTGTGCCTGCACTCCCCCAACTGCAGAGGTTAGAGGCACAGGTTACCATAACCTGGAGACTGAACCCAGAGCTCTGTGCATGCTAGGCAAATGCTCTACCAAGTGATCTACCCTTTCAGCCTCTTCCTCTCTCAACGATATAGTTACAGAGCCTTAAAACGCACACCTAAATTTATGCACTGGTACCCTAAATTCATGATTAAGGAAACAGGGCACCTATAAGGCAAGCATTATGAGCAGGGTCATACCCAAGGAGTGGTGACAAGACTCGGACTGCAGTGATTTGGTCTTTAATCTGTACCTTGTGCTTTGTACCCACACATCATAGCAGCCTTGTGAGGCTAAGACAGGCTGGCACATAGTAAAAAGTGTGTACAGAGAACTTTGCAGCAAAGGGCGGGAAGGAAGCCGGCAGTGCCCTGCCCTACAGCTTGCTGAACAGTAGGTCCTACTGTGTGAAAGGATTACAGCAAAATGCAGGTGGTGACCAGGAGATGGGTAAAAGTGCTTGCCCTAGGTCTAACTATCTGAGCTTGATCCCTGGAAACCACAGGGTGGAAGGAAGAACTGACATTGCAAGCTGTCCCCTGATCCATGTGTGCACATGGCATGCAAGCCCCTCCTTCAATAAATAAATGTTTTTTTTTTTTTAAAGTTTTAAAGTGCAAGTGAGAATATACAGGGCATGTACTTTTTGAATCACTTTTCTCTCTGTAAAGGGGGCTCTGTCTGGCTCCTGTTTAGGTAGTTTTACGGTGTGTGTGCAAGGTATCTTGGGCATCCATGGAGAAGTAGAGGCAACCTTCATCTGCCGTGGTTTTTCCCTGCCCGGCTTTCCATTTGCCATCTGCCCAGCTCTCCAAGAAGTTCTGTAAAGCACAGGATCTGATGAGGGATAAGCAACGTCAAATTCCTCACACGTAGAAACTTGTGTGGTGTCCCCTGGAGCTGGACTTGGGAGTCTGTTCTCCCCAATGGACTGGCCTGGCTGCCAGCCCAGGCCTATTGCCAGCACTGAGCCCGACTTTGGAGCCATCTACCAAGGGCCCTGGCTGTGTGAGCAGCATCTGGATTGCTAACTTCCAGCAAGAGACAAAGCAGGCTCCCAAAGAGCATAACTTCGGCCCAAATGAGGCGTGTCTGCAATGTGAAGATGACTGTATGTCAGTGCCGAGTCATTGTTTCCTTCACTTTGCTTCCAAAAGCTGAAATAGACATCCTAACAACAAATGGCTTTAATATTCCAAAGCTGTTTTTCTTGGTCTGTGATATGCAGAAGCCAACCTTCTCCAAAGTGCTCCTGGGATGGCAGATAGTGCACATGGTCCAGTAGAGGCGGTAACACGGGCTAGCAGCTTTCTACTGCATCTTTATGTCCTGCCTGCTGTCTGTCCCACGCCTCATTCTAGAGAAGCCTTCCCACCTGACTTGGGTTCAAGTAGGAAGAAGGAATTTGATTTCCTGGTGATGATTCCTTACAGTGAGTGTAAAGGCAAGCCT